CATTCAGAAAAACTGTCATACAGTCTAGGTCATATACGTACTGAGGAATCGGAACAAATTAGAGGACTTCAAGTAAACATAGAGAATTCATATGAACTGTGATCAAGATTTGACCGGATAGTTGCAAAATAATTGAGCACCGAGTGAGAAGTAGACATTTATAAAATTATATTTGTAAAATCTCAGCGAAATTGAAATGATTAATTCCAACGTTTCCTGTGTTCGGCAATCTGGTCCGAACTTCTTCAGGGAAATTAATCGGAATTAAGATAACAGAGATTTATATATACAAGGAACATTTCTTGTTTTTAAAAACTTTTTCCAATCATGAGTAAACATGTTTAATAAACAAAATTGTATGTTTATGTATAAAAGGACATCTATTGTTTTTAATTGTTCGTCCTGTCATATGAATCATGAAACAGGTATCAATAGCTATTAGAAACAAAAATTCTATGAACTGTGATCAAAATTTGACCTCAGACTTTCAAAATTAGTCTACTTTTCTTAAAATATATGTGTATAAGCAGTATACAAGTGTGTGTATGTATGAACAGTCATAAAACATTTGTTATTCTCTCCATAAGAAAACGTAGACAATCGGGAATTCGACCAAGTGTGACTAATTGTTGACACATGTCCAATTTTATTTATGAGTCAGGATTTGCCATGCATCAGCTAACCTCACACCTTCACGTCTGTTCAAACTGTTGGGATTCACCCATATATGTAGGGCTTCTGCATTCAGTCTTTCTTTATATGAACCAAAACCTTTCTGTAGAACCTTAGTCTTATCAAAGTCGATTTTGTATCCCGTTTCTATCGAATGCAGTGCAGTGCAATCGCTGAGTTGTTTTCTAGCTTCTTTAAGTCTTTGCAGAGGTCTTTGAAACCACCTTTAGACATTGTTTATGCTCTTTCACTCTTATATTTACCTGTCTGGAAGTTTCTCCCACATAAACGGCGTTACACAATTCTGCTGGTTTTCTTGTTCTATTTTATCCTTAACCTTCATTTCGATTTCGCTGAGATTTTACAAATATGATTTTATAAATTTAAACAGAATTTCATACATTTGGTTCCCTTGATAAATTTCAATAGAGCAAGAAAGACCAGATTTGCAGTATAAAATGATATCATCATTCTATTTCAAAGGTTCTCACCAACTGTAAACTACTTGAAATTACAATGGTTATAAATAATAACATTTCATACTTCAATGTTTGTTTGAAAGGTAATAAAGAAATCATTATTAGATGAACGCATCCGGAACATAAGTATTACAATTTTTATTTTAAGTTGCTATTAATTTATATACTATCAAACTATGAAAAAGAAAATATGGGGGGAGATGAGAGAAGACAGGAAACAGAAAAATGTAATAAACACTGTTAGCTTGTACGTCGATACGGCAACTGAAGAAAGCTAAAGTTCGTCAAATTGAAAACTTGTTTAGTGAGCTGAGCTCACTAGTGTGTATGACTAATCAGTGTAATCAAAGTGATATGGTTACCAAGGGAGTGAGAGGTTGACTACACTCTCTCTTCTGTGTGTACAAGTTTGGTCTGAGACGTTTGATTGCAATTGCTTCAGTAAATCGTAATAGATTCACTACCCTTTGTTTTATTTTAACATTTTGGAGGATTTGGGAATCTCGACAAAAAGACTCGCATCCACATGGTGGTTGTCTGGTAATTGTACTTTGTGAATATCTGCTTCCCTTGAAGCATGAGTTTCTTTGAATATGCTCTGAAAACCGGAGAGAAGCCCTTCTTTCTGTCCTTCCAATGTACTTGCTGCTGCAGGTGCACGTAAATTTATAAATGCAGTTGGAGGTAATTTCAGCAGGGTACTTATCTAGTTTCGATTGGTTTAAAGAATATGTCGTGCTGTATAATGTCACCAGTCTAGCTGCAGGGAGGCATCTCTTTATTGCTCCTTTCATCCTCTTGTCGGTGTTTTGTGATAATGCTTCTCATTTGAATGGGAGGCAAATGAACACTTTCTTCTTTTCAGTTGTTGGATACTTCTCTTTCTCATCTCTTTCTTTGCTGTACTTTAGGATAAGTCCTTTTGAATACCCGTTTTCCTTAAGGGATTTTTCAACAAATCTATATTCTTCTTCTACCTTGTTAGGTAGACATAACTTCCTGGCTCTGCCGTATAGTGTCTTTACTAATCCCCGCTTCTAGCTTGTAGGGTAGAAGCGTCGGTGGCACAGTGGTTGGGACTCCTGCCGACCATGCACATGGTCCGTGGTTCAAGCCCACGCCGACGCACACCTGATATCTATGGTCGGCCTACGAAATTTGGACTACCGATATCCGTGCTGAAAATTCCATACTTGTACCAAAAATACAGTGTGGAATCAAGCTGTAATCAAAAAAATAAAAAAAATCAATAAAATAAAAGCTGTTGTAGTGAAGATATTATCCGGTCCAGGTTTCTTTTCTGTAGATGGACTTCTCAATAGTTTCATCGTTTCTTCCTTTTAGATTTAGGTCCAGGATATTGTGTTCATATTCCATAGTGAATTTAATGTTTGAGTCGATCACATTAGGGCGGTCAAATAATACGGATGCCTGACTCTTGTCGTTAGAAACAACCATTGCTATTTCAGGTAGTTTACAGCGGTTGATGAGAACTTTTGAAATAGAATGACGATATCATTTTATACTGCAAATCTGGTCTTTCTTTCTCTATTGAAGTATAGAGAAGATAGAGGTGATGTATATAACCAATCAATCAATATCAACGGAAGAAATTCGAGAGAGGTCACTTCCTTTACTTATCTAGCTTTGTAGCATCGTTTCAATTGCAGGTGACAGCATGGATGAGGATGTCAAAGACTGGCAGAATCGGAAAGCCGACGTAGACCTTCATCATTCTGAAATCAGTTTGGAAATATTCTGCATTAACTCAGCATCTAGAAGGAAATTCGGATTTTCAACACCAATGTTAAATCAGTTAGTTCCATATGGGTTAGATTCAGCATTCGATTCTGTCGACTGAGAGGTACTCTGGCGATGCTTCACTGTAAAGGGAATACTGAGAAAACACATTGCACTGATTAAGGCACTCTACTCGAACGCATGTAGCCAGGTGACGGCTTACGGCGAGTTGTCTTCTGATCTGGTGACGACTAGTGGTGTCCGTCAAGGATGTCCATTATCCCCATTTCTATTCAATTTCATCATAGATGTATTAATGGATTTAGCCCTAACTCAGTTCAGAGACTCAGGGCTTGATTTGTTACCACCAGGGAATAATCTCGTTGGCTTAGAATATGCACATGATATAGTCCTTCTAGGCGAGAACGCTGACATAATACAGAGTCTTCTGAACACCTTTAGCTGCAATCTACGAATGTTTGGCATGCGATTCTCTCCCGCCAAATGTGAGATGGTGTTACACGACTGGACTACACTGACTACTAGATTAGAAATAGTAAGTGAAGTGGTAGAGCACGTTGACCGCTTCGCTTATTTGGGGAGTACCATCAACCAGTGCCAACGCGTTGATCTCCGACGAAATCCCAGTACGGATACAGGGGGCTCGTTTCGCATATGCCAGTTTACGCCGTCTTCGGCGTAGACGTGATATCCGGCTGGTTGTCGACCAAAGGAGGTGTGGTGTGTACTGCTCATCAGTCCGCTCCGTCTTCCTTTATGGCTGTGAGACCTGACCATTGAGAGTGGAAGACATGAAGAGGCCGGTTAGCTTTGATCATAGGTGCCTGCGTTCTATCTTCCGTGTGAAGTGGTAGGTGTAATAGGATGAGTAATATTGAGGTTAGGCGTCGAGTGCTAGGTAAGGAGGGGAAATCAATCGACGAGGCTGTGAAGCAGCTGCATCGACTGAGATGGTTAGGACATGTGTTACGAATGCATGACTAGTCATCGCATTCCTCGACGGGCAATGTTAGCTGACATAGGGCCAGGCTGGAAAAGAGCTAGCGGGGTTCAAACTAAAACATGGCCTCACCAGTCAATGAAATCTACAACAGTTAGTTTAACCCAGCCAGGTAGGAAGGTGTAGACTTCCTGGTTGGAGTCCTCGGGACAGTAAAAACCAATGGTTGGAAACAATCGGTGATATGGTTCAAAATCGTTCTCAATGGCTGGCTGGCGCAATCGCATCCACTCCTTGTGACTTATGATTTCCAATGAAACTATATAGTTCTTCGTTATTTCTATTCCTTTGTCTCACACCTCTGTTTACTGTCTCTATTATGCATTTCTTCTACTTTCTTCTGTTGCTTTGTGTACAGCAAGGAGGCAGTGTGGCAACTTGAACTGGTGCACATCAGTGCAAAGTTTTATGTCGAAAACAGATAAATATGGGTTAGAAACCTAACAAGGATTTCGTGACAAGCTGCATTAAGCTTTTATCAACAGCTGCTATTACTGGTTCCATACCGATAATCAGATGACCAAGGAGAAAGAATTAGCAACACGAAACTCTGGCTGGCTGGGAACGAACCAACCAAGAACCTTCTTACTCATTAAATATGCAAAATAAAAAGGAGATTGGTCTGATACACGCTTAGGAGAGCTTCGAGTGACATCGCACGCTAGGCTGTCGAGTAGGAAACGACGAGTTGGGCGTTGGTTCAAGGGGGTGACATGGAGGCAATAAGAGCTTATGGACAATCATGGAGCCAGCTGAAATGGAGATATGCTGTTGCGGGGCCTATGTTCCACTCAAAACTTAAGCAAATAATTATGATAATAATAGTAGTGCCTCTGTATTTGCGAAACCATTTTGCAGCCCATAAAACTGCTCTCTTGAAGTACTTACTATTCAAATTTGTGTTCATTTTGCACAAACAAAATAATTTACATAAATTGAAATTATTTTAAATTATATTTAATTTTAGTTTTATGAAATGTCATTAGAATATTGTTTTGTGTGGCTTTTAGTCTACATAGTCTCTTTCTTCTCCTCTTCAAGGTACAACATCTCTTACCTTTTGCGGGGGGTAAATCAGTCCTTAAAGTATGGAGGAGACAATTGATGTCCCAATTGAAGGTTAGCGTTAAGTTAGTGTTAAAATTCGAATCTATTCTAGGCTCGTCATTCTTACGTCATTTTACTGTACCATATGAACAAGCAAAAGATAAACTCCACACAGAAGTAACAACAATGATAGTAAGTTCACTCACCTTCGTATGATTCCTGTGGTAGCATCCCGACATAGGATGGTACAAGTCAAGTGCTAATCGTAAACAATTTCCATTTTTGAATGATAAAAATGTAGGTGAGTCTGTACAGATGGACACTAGTTAATTAACACAATTTTCAGCCTATTGATCCAAAGATGAATACAGAAGATGTGATTTTGCAGAAAATAATCAATAATTATGAGGTGATTTGTTCTATGTTATCTTACCCCTCTCTCTCTCTATCTATCTCTGTGAAGGATTTATTCTATTGTCGTCGTACTCCAGAGAATGAATCCATCCGTCTGTTATACTGTTGTCATGCATTGAATCATTCATTAAAGTGAGTCGTATATATTCCCACTTTTGGTTATAGACGAATTCATTTAGGTGTAGAAAGCTTGTAATAAAGAACAATGAGAAGGAAAAACAGTTTGGTGTTTCAGAGTAAGTTGGTTTTTTCTTTCATTAGGCAGGCTTTTGTGTTTTTTATGCTTATTTATTTATTTATTTATTAAGTTATAAGCGTGGATGGTTCACTGGTAGAGAACACTGGCCAACTTTGCCTCATGTAGTCCAGGATTCGAACCCCAGCTGACACACTCCTTTACCTGGCCTAGCCGTTGATAAACCCGGTAAAGACGGAAGGTTGGATATGATTTTAGCGACCGCATTCTGTAACAATAAACACCATTGCTAATGAAACTTAAAAGCTATCTCTCTTGAATCCCTATATTCTACCGAGAGTTACTTTGTACTTTGATTGAACACCAACTAGGCGTAGTAGTAAGTAATTAGTCCCCTTTGGTTGGTGCAGACTGAATTCTATCAGTCAATTGGTTTGCAGTGTGGTCACCATGTTAGATTGCTGGCCATCACAGTGCAAGATGCATCGGAAACTTGACTGATGGAATTCAATCTCCACTGAACAAAGGAAGAGGCTCATGACTGCCAAGTTAGTGTTCACTCAAATTATCTAACAGTCCTACAGGAGGTGAATCGTGAATCTGAATAGCTCAGTCGTGGTGACGTCGCTGACTGCAGAGGGAACGTATAAGTTCCTTCACGGTTGGAGATATGCCTTACTGAAAGGCGAGTGCCAACAAGCGTGAAACCGATGTCAGGTAGGGTTTCCTGTTGACTGCCCTCAATCATCTATTGTTCTTATTATTCCCTTGGGTTCCAAGTGAAAAAATAGGGCTGACTTCAACAACACATCTCCACTTTGTTCTGTTTTCTGCTGTCCTCTTTAGTTGGGTCCATGATTACCTAAAATCTCCCATTTCCTGCTCCTCAACACACGATCTCCTCCATGTCACCCTCAAAATGACGACCCACTCGTCGCTTCCCATTGGGATTCCACTTGAGCGATGGCCTGCATTGAGCACGATGTCATTCAACGGCCTCCTCAACGTATGCTGGATCCATCTCCATTTTGCTCCTACATATTTGTTGAGCAATCGGCTCTTGGTTGGTTTGTTACCAGCCAGCCAGAGTTTCTTGTTACTAATTTTTTCTGGCTGACCGACCGGCCAGCTGGCCATTTTATCCTTAGTATGGAGCCAGTGAAGGGGTCATCTGTTGATAAAAGTCTGCAGCTGCTTGTTGGAAATCGTTTTCGTGACATGCAGTTCAAGTTTCTGACCTGTATAGAGAAAGGCACTGACTTCATACTTGTATTGAACAGAATCCGAATCTTGTTGTTTATGCTGTATGAGAGCAGAGGATTTTCAAACTGGGGTATCAGGTTGATGAAGACAATATCTTGCTTTTCCGATTTAGGCTGGCTTTGACATCTTCATCCGTTCTGTCGGCCTGTAGTTGAAACTGTGCTTCCTAGATAAGTGAAGGCACCCATTGGCATGCTGGGTTCTAGCCCCAATGGGAACACCATCACTCACTGGGGGATGCAAGTACATCTGGATGATGAGTCCCGAATGGGACGAAATACACATTTTGATTGGATTCCACTTCTAGTCAGCATCCACCAAATTATTTCGAGTTAATCCCCGGACATCGTTGAATTGTACGTACTAGGGGCTGACATGTTAACAGAGGTTGAACACTTCAGTCCCATCAATCAATGGGAGAATCTAAATTGAATTAAAAACAAATAAGGGCTTTTAAAATTCTAACTGTATCCAATCACTCAAAAGCAATGAAGGTTTATTTGCCTAAATAACCATTCTCCTACTAAATTATGTGTAACCGACGGGATTATATTATCACCGAAATTCAGAGATTTATACATACCTATATTTATATTTTTAATTAGTTCGCCTGGCTTTTTATACCCACAGAAGGTAGCATAAGCTTAGGCACTTCATCTGGGCTAATATACTTCGATTACTAACTGGATATACTCCAACCAGAAAATTATCGTACAGTATTTCTCAAGTTCTCTATATTCAAGAGTACGGATGTTTTTTGGTTATTTACGATGGTGACGTGATGCACATTAATAGGAAGTGGCCGAAACTAGAATCAATATTTTAAGTCAATAATGGCTGCAGAGGTAGAAGTGTTTATTCCTCGAATGTGGATTTAGTTTTTACGTTATTAGTATTATTGTTCCCTTGGGTTCCTAGTGGAACATAGGGCTTCAACTGCACGTCTCCACTTGCTTCTGTTTTATACTGTACTTTTCACCTGCATCCATGTTAGTCCATACTGTTTCAACTCCTCTTCACACGATCTCCTCCGTGTCACCCTTGCACTGACGTCCCACTCGCCGCTTCCCTTTCGGCCTGGTTCCAATCGAGCAATGGCCTGACGTGCGCGCCATGTCACCCAGAGGGGGCCTCCTCAGCGAGTGTCCAATCCATCTCCACTTTCTCCTGCATATTTGTTGGGCGATTGGTTTGTTCTTGTTTTGTTTGTTTGTTCCCATAGTTTCCCATAGTTGGTGATTCTTTCCGGCCCAGCCATCTGATATTCAGTATAGAGCGATGACATCTGTTGATAAAGGTCTGCAACAGGCTGTTGGAAATATTCTTTGTGACCCTCCAAGTTTCTGATCCGTATAGAAGAACTGACTTTACGTTTGTATTGAAAATCCGACTGGATTTTGTTGTTGATGCTGAGTGACGAAGATTTCCAGATTGGTTCCAGGTTGATGAATGTGTTTCTCACCTTCCCGATTCTTGATTTGACACCCTCGTCCGTTCCGACTTCCTGTAGTTGAGACTGATATGTATCCACATATATATTTATGTGTGTGTGTATGTTGGTCTCTCTTTCTATTTGCTCGCTTAGTCTGTGACCATTTCACTGGTATGAACTTGTCTCCTTTATCAATGTATATTCTCCCTATATTATATTATATATAATATGAGTGTTTGTTGACAGTCCGTTGCTTAGTGACATATATCCATATATGGTTGTTTGACATGTCTGCTATATATATTTTGTTATATATATATTTCGTTCACACATTCTGTGTGAACTACTTTACTTACTTATCACTTTGGTGTGAGACCATTTATTTTCTTACTTTTTTACTTTACTTTACTTCGGCTATCTCCTACGGGAGGATGAGCCGGCTTCATGAACGTCTCGAATCATCGCTGCCCAGGCGCGGCGATCTGAAGCAAGGTTTTGCGATAGGGATATCCAATTCTTGTTCCACATACGGAGTCCGTAGACCCTTTGTAGCCCCAGGCACTCCATATCTACCTTGACTGTACCAAGCCATGTCTTCAGCTGTCCGCCTCTGCGACATCGCCAAGATGGTAATGGCGAGGGATTTAGAACTGATTTGACCAGATCGTCATCTGGTCGGCGCAGAACATGGCCAAACCACCGAAGGCGGCGTTGTTGGACCAGTACTGGAATTTGGTTGATGTTGTAGCAACGCCGACGCACTTCTTCGTTGGAGAGTTTGTCCTGCCAACGAACATGCAGAATGTACCTGAGACACCAATGGTCTAATACCTCGAGTCTGCGTAAATCTTCCGCGCGAAGAGGCCAGGTTTCACAGCCATACAGGAGAACGGGTCGTATGGAAGCTTGGTAGACCCGAATTTTAGTCCTGAGACTGATTTCTCTCTTGCTCCATAGAACGCTCCTCAGCTGTAGAAACGCATTCCGGGCGTTGGAGATTCGCGCATTCACTTCGTTTTTCGCTTGGCCGTTGGGGAGCATTATGGATCCCAGATATCTGAAGGATGGCACAATTTCAATAGGTGCTCCATTTAGGGATAAGATTTCATCATTGCCGGTGGATGTGTTCGAAAACATTTTGGTTTTGGAAGTGTTAATTTCCAAACCGATAGTAGACGCGAGGTGGTTTATCTGATCGAGCGCCTGTTGCATATCGGGGAAGTTTTCAGCTAACAGCACGACGTCGTCGGCGAATTCGAGGTCGGTTATGTGAATATCGGGCGAAAGTTGGACGCCGTGGTGCTCGGTTAGGGCGTGCCGCAAAATCCAATCAATTGTGAAATTGAACAGGATGGGGGATGCTGGACAACCTTGCCGGACACCGCTGGTTACCTCAAAAGTGCGGGACTCTTCACCGTTCACTCGGACTCGAGCTTTGTTGTTGGAGTAGTATGACCTGAGCAGGTTGATTAGCTTGGTCGGAACTCCGTCGAGCTCCATTAGATACCAGAGTGCTCCTCGATCAACTGGGTCGAATGCCGCTTGGAAGTCGATGAAGCAAGCAACCGTCGGCTGTTGGAATTTGTCCCTGTGTTCCAAAATTCTTCGCAGTGTGAATAATTGATCAACACAGCCTCTTCCAGGTCGAAATCCGGCTTGATTTGGCCTTGTTCGCACGTGGCGTTCGGCCGCGAAGCGGTTCAGGAGAATGGAAACAAAAACCTTAGCAGCGATATCAATCAGACTTATGCCTCGGTAGTTCTCGCATATTGACCTGTCTCCCTTTTTGTGGAACGGTAGCAGAACTGAGGTGCTCCAATCGGAAGGAATGGTTTCGGACTCCCAAATTGAGCAGAACAGCGAGTGCAGTGCATCGATTAGCGCTGGAGTGCAGGCCTTGTATATTTCTGGGGGTAGACCATCTTCGCCCGGAGCTTTTTTGTTTCTGAGTCTGTTAATTGTTTTAGCTATTTCGGTTGGAGTGGGTGGATCGCAGTCAACTACGTAGGGTGTTGGTAAGTGTCGTATCGGTCGATGAGACGGTTGACCAGCGTCGCGATTGATTTTCGTCTCCTTGTGTTTGGACAATAGAAGTATCATCGCAAACCTAGTGGTCTTCTGATTTCCGCCTTCTCGCGTCAGGACTATTAGTCTCTCGACCAGTCCATAACAATAATTTAGCGACGAGTACATAACAATTTGGCGACGGGGATATAGTACATAACAATTTGGCGACGGGGAAAACTACTATTAACCACTCAGCAGCAGCAACATAACAATTTACTATGGATTATTCTAAATTGGAATTATTGTTTGAACGACAAATGAAATTAATGGAAATGTTCGTCAACCAACAGACTGGTCCAGCTTCACCTTCAAGCAATCCCAATCATACCATGCTACCATCTGTCGACGGAATTGTGAACAGTATTTCACAGTTCAATTATGACCCAGAGGCTAATGTCACTTTTGACACATGGTATCAACGTTATGAGGATTTATTCACTGTTGATCTCGCCTCACAAGACGATGCCTGGAAGGTGCGAGTGTTGTTACGTAAATTGGGTCCGGCAGAATATGAACGGTACTGCAACCTAATTTTACCCCAGAAACCACGTGACAATGTTTCGATGATACAATAAAGCTGCTGCGTGAACATTTTGGAGACCACTCCTCATTATTCAGCATACGTTATCGTTGCCTCAAGCTGGCAATGAATGAAAATGATGATTTTCTTACTCACGTTGGCACAGTCAACCGAGAATGTGAGAGATTTCGACTCAGGTCCTTAACAGATGATCAATTCAAAGCCTTGATCCTCATATGCAGTCTCCAATCTCCTCGTTTCACAGATATCCGAACTCGACTGCTCAATCAGCTAGAACAAAATCCCAAGTTAACATTACATGACATAGCTGATGAATATCAACGGCTGATTAATCTGCAGAAAGACACACACCTGGTCGAATCAACACCTCCGAGAAGCTCTGATATTCGTGCATTACGCAAGAGCAAAAATCTCTCATCAGCTACTCCTGACCCACCTACTTCTCCTAATGTCCCGCGGAAATCTATACATACTCGTCCAACTTCACAAAATACTGCAAAGAAGACCCCACCATCACCATGCTGGCATTGTGGCGCGTGGCACTTTGTAAAGTCTTGTCCGTACAAAAATCATCGTTGCAGCAAGTGCAAATCATCGGTCATAAAAATGGTTTTTGTCAGCCACGCAAACCCAGATGTCAAAATCCAGCGAAAGCTCAACAAAATGTTGGTCCTAAATCTCCAAAAAGATCATTGAGTCTACGCGCAACCTGTCAAGTCACAACACCAGGTATGCGGAAATATATTGACCTTCAGATGAATGGTCATGATACACGTCTGCAGCTAGATACCGCCTCTGATATTACTGTTATATCAGAGAAACTTTGGAATAATATTGGCAGACCACCAATCAGATATACTTCCCAGTCTTTTCTCAGCGCCTGTGGTGGGCGGCTCAAACTAATTGGTGAACTCAAATGTTCTGTTTCCTTCCGCAATACCAAATTCACAGGAATTTGCTACGTCACCAAGAGTGATTTAAATCTTTTGGGACTTGATTGGTTCGATCGTTTGCATCTGGCTGATGTCCCACTAAATTCTCTACGCAATGCAGTCAAGAAGCATAAAATGCCAGACAATTCCGGACGAAGCCGAAGCCGCAAACCCAACACGCAGACGAAACGACAGACGTCAACAACAAGCCCAAAGGTTCCAGATAAACCCCCAGGTAAACATCCTACTAATCATCAATCTTCTCAAAAGGGGAGGTGATATGTATCCACATATATATTTATGTGTGTGTGTATGTTGGTCTCTCTTTCTGTTTGCTCGCTTAGTCTGTGACCATTTCACTTGTATGAACTTGTCTCCTTTAATAATGTATATTCTCCTTATATTATATTATATATAATATGAGTGTTTGTTGACAGTCCGTTGCTTAGTGACATATATCCATATATGGTTGTTTGACATGTCTGCTATATATATTTTGTTATATATATATTTCGTTCACACATTCTGTGTGAACTACTTTACTTACTTATCACTTTGGTGTGAGACCATTTATTTTCGTCTCCTTGTGTTTGGACAATAGAAGTATCATCGCAAACCTAGTGGTCTTCTGATTTCCGCCTTCTCGCGTCAGGACTATTAGTTTCTCGACCAGTCCATAACAATAATTTAGCGACGAGTACATAACAGAGACAATGCTCCCTAGATAAGTGAATGAATGAAGTAACCTCTTTGAAATCCCTCCCGTTGATGGTGAATGGCGCTGGATGTTGCTGTTGTTGTTGGTTGGTTATTTTCATAACCTCTGTCTTGTCTATGTTCACCTGGAGTCCTGTTTTCGCCGACTGCTTCTTCAACCAGTTTGTCGGTTTTCGCTCACTTGTAAGTCTTCGATTTTGTGTGACATCAAACATAAATCATCGCGGCGCGAAATCCAGGTCTTCTAAGGTCTTCACTTTGGTCGGTCCAGGATATCCCTGTCTTCTCGTTTCCCACTGTCTGACGCATAATCCAGTAACTCCACCACAATTAAGAATATCATTGGTAATAATAGGCAGGCACCCTTGTCTGACTCCTGTGTTTACTCCAAACGCCTCGCTGAGTTTTCCGTTGTGGATGACTTGACATGTTCCGTTGTCGTACAGCTGTTGAATAAGGTTAATCAATATTTGGAGTACGCCGTAATACTCGAGTAGTTATGGACATGAAATAATCTGATTGGGCAACTTGTTCAGCCTTGGGCCTATAGCCGACCATTGTTCTGATTGGTTGGCTATAGGCCCAAGACTGAACAAGTTGTCCAATGAGGTTATTCTCCTCTGACTTAGACAAACTTCAATGTGACTAAAAGTGTATAAATATGATGTGATGTAAAACAGTCCGTTACCGAGTTTCTTATCTTCTTCTGTTACACTACTACTGTAACAACAGAAGACAAGGGCCAGGCAACAGATCGTTTTATTATGAAAATCAACACGTATTTATACATCTTTCAACTACATTATTATAGACAAGCGCAGTCATCTGATTGGTTGTTTAGGTAGACAAACGCAGGCTTCTGATTGGTTGTTTCGGGATTCCTTGACAAATAGAGTTCTCTCTGCGAATCATATTTTGCCACGTTAACTTTGCTGTGATTGGTTGTTGACTCAGGCTTGTTCATATTTTCTCACGGCCCATATTAGTGACCTAGACCTTAACGTAGATTAGTGCCAACCAATCGGCTAGCAGCCTGCTCTCACCACACTACCATTACTACTGCTAATAGTAATAATAATAATTTTGATTTCTCCTGTTAGTTCTCTTCGTGATCAAGGATTTCATCGTGCACGTACGCTTATTCTTGCACCGACTAAAGAAGCAGCTAAACGGATTGTACAGACTTTTTTAAAAATTATGCCTAAAGGCTCTACTGTTTGTCATCGACGTCGTTTTGAACAAGACTTTGGTCCAAAACCAGGTGATACAGATAAAGAGAAGAAGAAAGGAAGAAAACCAAAAGATTATGAAGAATGGTTTAGTGGTAAGTAAACTATGCTTAATTACTTTTTAATTTTCAAATTATATGTAAGGCTTTAACAACACACCGCTGTGTCCCATTTTCTGCGGTCTTGTTTAACTGGTTCAACGATTTCCCATAGCCTGTCATGTTGCCTCTCACGATCTCTTCCTTGTCACCCTCGGATTCCTTCGGGTTCTAATTGAGGGTCTCTCTGACATGCGATGTCGTTCGACGGTCTCCTGAGTGGTGTATTCGATCTATCTGCATTTCCTTCGGCACATTTCATGGGCAATAAGGTTCCTGATTGGATCGTTCCCAGAGTTCCTGACCGACTGGTCATTTGATCTTCCGTATCGAGCCAGCGAAGTGGGCAACTGTTGATAAAAGTTTGCAGCAGCCTAGTGTAAATGGTTTTGGTGACGTGCTGCGTAGTCTCCGAACTGACTTGACATCATTTTTGAAGATCCGGACCTTCTTCTTTGTGCTGAGTGAAGTTAATTTCCACAGTCATATAAGATTAACGAAGGTCTTCTATAATTTGCTGATCCTGAGTGACTTTGAAATCTTCATCCGTGCTACTTAAAGTTGAAACAATGTTATCCCGATAAGTTAAAGAGGTAACTTCTTTTAGATTTCTGTCGTTGACAGTGATGAGTGCTTGTTGATGTTTGCTATGTATCATCATCACAACCACCTGTTTCCTCTGTGTTCACCTGAAGTCCTATTCTCGCTGCCAGCTTCTTCTGCTAACAGCTTGTTGGTTTTTGCCTGTTAGTCTTCGAGTTTTTGTATGCTATTAGGCATGAATTGTTTGTGAAGTTCAGAATGTCTTGAGTTATTCTTATTAGCCCAACGTATTCCTGTCCTCTTGCTCTCATGCACAATCTTTGGCATAATTCAGTTCACTACAATTAAGAATATCATCGATAATAGTAGGCTGGCAGCCTCGTCTCACTTCTGTATTCACTTCGAATCCTTTGTGGATCACCTGACAAATGGCAGACGTTGTCATATAGCTAGCTGTTGAATGAGGTTGTTAAAGACTTGGGCGCTGCACGCCATAGTGTCGAAGTAGTTTCCAAATTACTCCTCGGTCAAAGCTGCCCATCGAAGGCTTTTTTGAAGTACATGAAGTTGAGGTAGAGGTTTGACTGCCATTCTATGCTATGTTCGATGATGATGGTGCGTAGAGTTGCAATTTGATCAGCATATGATTTGATTTTCCTGAATCCAGCGTGTTCCGGGCGGAGTTCTGCATTAATTGGATCCTTTATTCTCTCCAGGATGATGTGACTTAGGCATCTTACTTGGCGTAGACAAGAGCATTATTCTGCTCCAGTTCTTGCATAGACCTAAGTCACCCTTCTTCGATGGTTTGACAAGGGGTAGCCTTTCTTCTACTCAGTAGATACCTTTCCTACATTTCAATCATTAGGCAGTAAATGGCGTTGGCATGTCTTCATCGGTTTCTGGATTTGTTTTCAGTGCTTCAAGTGGAATTCCGTGCTGTCCTTCTGCCTTCTCTGATTTCACTAGCTTGATTTCATTCTGCTTTTGTTGGACGATTGGTGTCCACTTGCAGTTTTGCACTTACTGTTGTTGGTGATATTTCTAAGCGAGTTACAGGTGACTGTCGGTTCAGGAATCCTTTAAAATGACCAGCCCATTGTTTTCTTTGTTTCTTCCCTTAAGTAATTAGGTTCCTTCCCTCAGGGAGAATACTAAATGTAAATGTTATCATCAATGGTTGTGGTATGCCGTTTTTTCCTTCACGTTCCCCAGTGGAATATTGGGCTTCAAGTTAGTGACTTGAAGTTTCCGTGGCAGTGTTTATTTTACAGGATGGGGTTGCTAGCCAGCCTCATGCCCAACCTTTCCTCTTTACCAGTTTTATTTCTGGCATCGGTGGCCAGGGATCGAACTCCGGATCATGTGCATGGTCGGCGAGCATCCTAACCGCTATGCCACCGACGCATGTAGTGTGCTGTGACATTAAAAAAAATTAAACAAATAAATCAGACAGGATATTCGAAATAAAAACAGAACATGAATGTACTTGCACCACTGTAATTGATTGGAAGCTATGTTGACTGACTGACTGAGTGAGTGACTGACTGCTTTCAACGTAGAACTTTACACAGATGTGCAGCAGTTCGAGTTATCACACTCCATGTAACATACAAAACACGAAAAGGGAGTAAAGAAAAATTCAAAAGACGGAAAGATAATAAACACGAGTGTGAATGAGGGAAAAAGAATAGTAATATGGGAAAACAATGGAGTTTTACCAGATATGACAAATAAATCACAAAGACTGAATGCGTCTGCACTGTCATTGAGAACGATCACTTTCAGCCATATCACCAATAATTTTCTCCAGCCGTCATTAATTTTTAACACCCCGAGGACCCCTACCAGGTAGGCAGGCAGTCTACATCTCCTTGCGTGGTTAGCCTAAACTAACTTTTATGGATCTCATTGACTGATTAACCCCTTTTTTGGTTTGACCACCACTTACTACCTCTCTCTCTCTTTTCCAACCTTATCAACCTTATGTTAGTCAGCTAACATTACCAGTCGACGAAGGTGATCGGTGGCTAGGCATGTAAAGCACAAGTCCTAACGATCTCAATCAGTGTAACTTCACAATTTCGTCAACTGATTTCCCCTCCTTATTTTGCTTACCACTCGATGGAAGTCTGACCTCAGTATCACTCACCTTATTTTACTACTTAACACGGGATATAGGACTGATATGTATCCACATATATATATTTATGTGTGTGTGTGCATGTTGGTCTCTCTTTCTGTTTGCTCGGTTAGTCTGTGACCACTTCACTTGTATGGACTTGTCTCCTTTATTAATGTGTATTCTCCTTATATTATATTATATATAATATGAGTGTTTGTTGACAGTCCGTTGCTTGGTGACATATATCCATATATGTTTGTTGGCATGTCTGCTATATTCGCTATGTATAATTGGATCGACACTCCATTATAATTAGCCATTCATGTTAAGACTGTCTAATGATTTTTCCCACGCTTGTCTGAATTATTTATATATATTCGCATTCACAATTTGTGTGAACTACTTTACTTTACAACTACTTTACTTACTTACCACTTTGGTGTGAGACCATTTATTTTCGTCTCCTTGTGTTTGGACAATAGAAGTATCATCGCAAACCTAGTGGTCTTCTGATTTCCGCCTTCTTGCGTCAGGACTATTAATTTCTCGACCAGTCCATAACAATAATTCAGTGACGAGTACATAACAATTTGGCGACGGGGAAACTAGTACATAACAATTTGGCGACGGGGAAACTAGAACATAACAAGGACACAGACATCTATGAGGAAAGACAACTAATCAGACTTTTCATATCTTCCACTTTCAATGGCTATGTCTCACAGGAAGCCATCAAGGAGGATGGGGTGAACTGCAGCTGAGGAGTACACACATCCTTTGATATATAGCTAGCTGGATCTTGCATCCTTTAAGCATATAATGCAGAGACGAATAACTTGAGGAAATTAAAATTGTAACTGACCGCCTCCGTTCTCCCTATTCAGGTATATATATATATATATATATATATATATATATATATTGAGACGAAAGCGCGGCAAGTTTGTTTTTTACAGTCACTTATATCCTCCTCTGTTTATAATTGAAAAATGCATTTCTATTCTATTCTATTTTTTTTCTTATCAGGTAATTCAAGTGATCATTTTCGTATTGGTATCTCATTTTCGAAGAAATCTGTGAAGTTGTACTCTGCATTCAGCAATTCAGATATCATTTTAGCTTCACCTTTAGGCCTTCAAACTATTATAGATGGAGAACAGTAAGTAAATCGTGCATGTATGATCACTTAATTTTTTTGTGGTAACCCTAATCTCACTCATCAACACTGGGGCGAGGGGGGGGGAAATTTTCTCCATTATGGATAAAATTTTATTTTGATAAAATTACACACATTGGTGTGATACAGTGATATTTACTGATGAGCGCGTTTCGAGCACAATTTATTACTGCCACTCATAATCTTATCAAGGCAATACTCTGATATGTAGTCACATGATGTGTGTTTTATTTTTGACAGTCTGTTATATTTTGCTATGTGTAAATGGATCGATATTTCATTATAACTGACAATATACTTTTGTCTGTCCACTAACTAAATAAACAATGTATGACCTTATTGTCACATGACATTACAACCAATCATGTTAAGACTGGCTATTTATTGGTTCATGTGTATTAGCCATTTTCATATATATATCATTTTATACTGCAAATTTCGTCTTCCTTTCTTTGTCGAAATATATACTTTTGTACTGGATTCTTGTTCGTACTTGTCTGTACATTTCGTACTTATTCACTCACACTCATGTGTGACAATTATTTTCCTTGTCTGGAAAATACAAATATCATCGTAAACCTGGTGGGGTCTCCTGATTCCCCTCTTTCCGCGTCAGGACTATTAACTACTCGACGAGTATATAACATAATTGTCGACGGAAAAACTCTAATAACTCACTTAGCAGCAGTACATAGCAGTGACTACATATCATACACAACTTTCTTGCTTCATTTATAAAATACATGATAAGGTGTATAAGATAAAGTACATTCGGAAATAATTATATTAGTGTTATCACTAAAATATAATAAGATGGGAAATAAGACGTTTTGTACAGTAGAAATAAGTAACTTGTTAGAATGTTTTAGTGTGAATTAAATACATTTTATCATTATTTATCATCATCCCCCTCTGATTTGACTGGTGGTAATAGTATCTTCCATATTTCTGGTATTTATGTTGAGTCTGTCTGTCTGGATTCAACATAGAACTTGGCACCGAAGTGCACCAGTTCGAGTTTCCACGTTCCAAATAGCACACAGAGGTAGACAAGAAGATGAGTGGAGAGAATCAATAGAGTTTGACAAGTATGAGAGTGAAACAGAATGGGTAATGGTAGAAAGGAATATGAAAGATTACAGAGACTGAATACATCTTCGCTGGCCATTGACAACGATTTTGAGCCATGTCACCTAGTGTCTCCAGCCATTGATTCCTAGAGTCCCGAGGACCCCAACCCGGGAGTCTGCATCTCCCTACCTGACTCAGTTTAACTGTCAGGGATTTCATGGATTGATGAGGCCATGTTTTTGTTTGGCCACCACTGGCTCTTTTCCAGCCTGCACCTATATCAGCTAGCAAAGCCCGTCGGGGGAGGCGGTGGTTAGGCATGCGCAGCACGTGACCTAGCCATCTTAGTCTATGTAACTTTATAGCCTCGTCGATTGATTTTCCCTCTTTGCCTGACCAACACTCTACGCCTAACGTCAACATTACTTACCTTATTAAACCATCTAACGCGAGACAGGGATCGCAGACATCTATGATCGAAAGCAGTTAACCTTTTCATGTCTTCAACGCGTATTGGCCATGTTTCAGAGCCATAGAGAAGGACGGAGCGAACTGATGAGCAGTACACACGTCCCTTGGTTGATAACCGGATGTCACGCCTACGCCAGAGATGGTGTAAGTCAGCGAAAGCAGCTCGAGCTTTTCGGATCCGTGGTGAGATTTCATCGCCAATCAGCCAGTTCGTTGGTGCTAATACAACTTCCCAAGTAGGTGAAGTGGTCAACATGTTCTATCACTTCCCTCCCTATCACTAAGTTAGGGGTTGACGTGGTCCATTACGTTGAGTCACTTCTTAACCATGTGTTGGATGTAGACTCAATGAACCAGTCAGGATTCAGTAATCAATCTCTATCTATCTCCACCTACCTACCTACGAGGTAACCTCGCAGACTATCCAACCACTTGGAACCAACTCAATGACTAGCCCATGAATTCTGGCTTATGTGCTGATTCATGATATGTTCAGCGCGACTGCCGCCAGTCAATGTGATCATTGACGAGTATTTGTCCTCACTACCGACCGGATTGACCCTACTGGTCACAAATACTCACTGAAACTGCTCCAGGGAACTTCATTCTGTAGTTGGCCCCAGTGACTAGCGATCATCGATCATCAGATTACATTTTCCAGAGTTAATTTGTCGTGGGGATTGTCCGAAGTTTTTTTTTGTTTTTTACTCTCTTTCTATCTCAATTTTTCTCATAGAGAAGCTGATATTCAATATATTATTGCATCAATTGAATTACTAATTATTGATCAAGCTGAAATGTTATTAATGCAAAATTGGTCTACAGTTCAGCATATTGTATCTTTGCTTAATCAACGTCCAACTAAACCAGTATTTGCATCAGCTGCACGTATACGTTTGTCATATTTAGCTGGTTATGGTAAACGTTATCGTCAAACATTACTCTTCTCTGCGGTATCAACATTTCTGCTTACATTATTATCAGGAGAATGTGAAAGTGAGTAGTTTATTGTGTATTAATTCTTGAATAATCCCCATCCAGACATTATTATTAGTATTATTTCTTTTAGTTCCTAGAGAAACATAGGGCTTCTGCTACACGTCTCCATTGCGCGTTTGGTTCTCTGCCAACGTTTTCATCACTTGGTTCCGCGTCTGCCCATATGCTTTCATCATCCCCTCTTCACATGACCTCCTGCATGTCACCCTTACTGTCTGTCTGTCTGCCTGTTTTCGACATAGAACTTTGCACAAATGTGCGGAAGTTCAAGTCGCCACATTCCGTGTAGCACGCGAAGCAAGAGAAGAAAGTACAAGAAAAGCATAATAGAAACAGTGAGCAGAGGTGTGAGACAAAGGAGTTATAAAGAAATACAAAACAATTTCATTGAAGATCATAAGTCACAAGGAGTGGATGCATCTGCGCCACTGAGAACGATTTTGAGCCATGTCACCAATTGTTTCCAACCATAGATTTTTGCCGTCCCGAGGACCCCAGCCTGGAAGTCTACACCTTTCTACGTGGCTTAGACCAACTGTTGTGGATTTCATTGACTGGTGAGGCCAAGTTTTTGTTTGACCGCCGCTAGCTTTTTTCCAGCCTGACCCCATATCCGCTAACATAGCTCGTCGAGGAAGGCGATGACTTGGCATACGTAACACGTGTCCTAACCATCTCAGTCGATGTAGCTTCACGACTTCGTTGATTGATTTCCCCTGTTTACCTAGAACTTTACGCCTAACCTCCATGTCACCCTTACACTGAAAACCAACTCGCCGCTTCCCATTCGGGTTCTACTTGAGTGAGTGATGACCTGTTGTATGACATCACACGACAATTACGTCGTTCATGGAGAATTTAAATCAGTTCATTTCATACTTAAACCTGCTCTGAAGATGTTGTCTAAATAGTGAACGACAAAAGCTGCGTAATTAAATCAACCAGCTCCTCAGAGAATACAACTCGATCAAAATCACCCACCTGAGCTGACAGGTCTTCACCATGACAACCAAATCAAAATATATAGCATCATGCAATATATTCAAGCATTTCCAATAACTTGTGAATTTTCGTTTTCAAGTATGGGTTTGTAAAGATTTGATTGTTTGGTTACATGATTTCATCATGAGGTGACATAGCTTAGAGAACCGTTGAAAAACCCACCAGGAGTACTAGACAGCTGTTTCGTCCCCCTAGTTTGGGTCTCTATCAGTACGCACCCACCGCCAGAGTTTTAACCCCAAACCTTCTGGTTACAAGGCGAGCTAGCTGGTAGACCATTAAGCCACTGGGACCCGATCCAATGACCAGTCAATGAATTCCAACTTCTGCCAATTCACAATATAGTGTGACCGCTAGCCAATGTCATCGCTGACGAGTACTTGGCCTCACACTCGAACTGCTGTACCCTACTGCTGGTCATGACTTCCTACTAGAAGGCCAGGTAACTACTACCTACCTACCTGAATAGGGCCACTTTTTCACTTGTCATTGTTATCAGTTATTTGCGTAATCGATTGTTTCTCAGCTGGTTCCTATCTCCTACTTCTTTTTCTCGATAATAGATTTCCAAGGAATGAATTATATTCCATCAGTATCCTACTACAGTGATCTATATCCAACCTTTTTACCTGAATGGCAACGTGTACCAGGGCTGAAACCGCTACCGCCTCTTCTTCGTGCTGGTCAGAAACGTCAACATTCAAAGACTGGTGTTAGTGAATCAGATGACAAGCCGATAAATTATAACTTTAAGTTACACTTAATTTCCTTCTTGATTCCTGGACAAATCTCTGTGAAATCATCTTGTACAAAGTTAGACAATGAAAATCAGTTGGATTCATCAGATTCAGACAGTGAAGAAAAACAGTTAGCCAGTACTCCATTGCCTATTTCTAATGCAAAACATCTGCCCATGCTAGATACATCAACCAATTCTTTATTATTATCCTGTAAACCACTTACATTCACTAATCATGCCTACATGTGTAAGTTTGGCAAGTTTTTGAAGTGGATTTTATTTTAAAAATCTGTTTTCATCATAGATTAAAATCAATCTAAAAAAGTGATTAGTAGTAAATGGGTAATCAGAGCTAGATTCGCTTGGGGAGGTGAGTCTACACACTGGTCAAACTGCTGATCAGTTCGACCGTAAATAAAAGAATCGGTCATCTGATTCTGTTAGCGAGCACTATTATATACTGACGACTTGACTATATCTTTGCCTGCAAAATGTCAAAGTGACTGCTCCAAACTAAATGGCGTTTTATCAGAAATCACCCAGTGCTTACCTTGGATCCGTCTAAATGTCAAACAGTCAATTTCACCGGTAGGCATAAATCTGAATGACTGAAACAAACTGGTTAACACTCACGAGGTGTACAACATAGACGGCACTGAAATAGAGACCAAGTCGGAAATTAATTAAATATCTTGGCATCATTCTATCTGCTGATCTGTCCTGGTTGTCTCATCATATCTTGATGATTTCTAAGAAAATATTCCGTCTTACCTTCTACATCAAGAAGCTAAGATATTCTGGAATAAACCAGCCCAACGCTTACTCTTACGATTCGTTAACTCTTGCATCCTGCCTATTATTTTCTATTGTTCCCCCTTAGTTTTTCCAGGGCTACTGAAGAAGGACTATATCCTATTACGTAGAATGTTAGAGATTGTCAGCAGGGTAAGCCACAAGGTGCCACTAAACCAGCTTGTTAATATTCTGGTTGACAGGCACTTGAACTCATGTGAAAAATGGGCTGAATCTATTTTATATAACTCACAACACCCTCTTCACTCACAACTCTCCCTTTGTCTCTCATCAGGCAAAACCAGAAGCCTGTATAGAAAACTATATGCTCGCACTAGTAAGTACAAAAACTCAACCATACCCTACTTGGCTCGTGTTCTGTACGATAAAGAAAGCATTAGGCGTGATACCTATAACTTATTAAATAGTCAGTAGAACAACAACTGGATCTCGTCTTTCCAACTCATATCATTTATAGGTAGAACGTTTTCTTTCTTCTTACTTTAAACATTCTTCATTGTTACATACTTTGTATATCTCGACCCTTTTGTTACCGCTTACGGCAGTAAATATGCCAGTAGTATCTGCATTTCTAACACCTTCAAAGATTCTGTTCACTTTTGGCTTTGCTACCGATATGCTAATATGTTGTTGTCATAGTGAACTGAGATTACTCTTAATCTATGTGGAATTTTATTTATTCTGTTAATGTACTAACTGGATGCAATACTGTATGTAGTGAAATACAGAGAATTCCATGCTGTATCACAAGTACTGTTTTGGATGAAAGCAAATTATTATTATTATGGGTTATTTGTGTGGTATCCAACTGCCTATATCGATTAATCAGTAGAACAGAGTAGACAGGGAATTTGTCAGATGATTTGACGCACTCGGTCACAGGACGCCCTGTCTGACGTAGGTTTCGTGCTTGTTGGCATTCAGCAAATAGCAAGGCATATTTGCAATCTTGAAGGAATTTATGTCCATCCTAAGATTTGAACCTGTGTCACCCAGCGTTGCAGTCAGGGATGTTACCACTTTATTATTTGGCTAACGATTGGCCATCTTTAAGGGTTGATCGCTGACGAAATATCAGCTCGGATATAGAAAGCTTGTTTGTCGTTCGCCTACCAACTGACGCCATCTTTGATTGGTTTTCGATCAAAGGACGTGTGGCGTATACTGCTCAGCAGTCCGCTCCGTCCTGCTTTCTAACTCAATGTGAAACATAGCCTTTGAAAGTGGACGACATGAAAAGCTTGGCTAGCTGTCTTTGATTACGGGTGTCTGCGTGCTATCTTCCGTGTTAAGTGGTAGTAATAAGGTTGTAACAACAGGAGGCATGACACGGAAGCCAAAGTATATTTTTCATTAATCAAACCGCTGTTTATATATGCACAGTTTATATTCGTTAACTAATCACTGACCATGTGATTTCGGTTTATATTAAACGACATGAAATAGAATGTTCAAATATACGTAGTATTCTGTTGCCAGTGCAGTATTGTACTGTGGGAATAACATTCCGACTCTAACATCAAATAGAATGTTCAAATAGATATATTGTATTCTGTTGCTGATGCAGTATTGAACTGTGGGAACATGTGAGAATAACACATTCCGTTTGCACACATTGTCGTCTGTATCACACCACCACAAGGTGAGCAATATTGAGGATAGACTTCGGTCAATGGTTAAGTAAGGAGGGCGGGGGGGGGAATCAATCGATGCAGTTGTGAAGTTACATCGATGGAGTGAGCTGGTTAGGACATGTGTTACACATGCCTAGCCTAGCCATTGTCTTCTCCAACAGGCAACATTTAGCTGACTGATCAGGCTGGAAAAGAGTTAGCTCAAACCAAAATATACCTTCATGAGTCAATGAAATCAACAACAGTTAGTTTAAAGCCAGCCGCCACGTAGGGAGGTGTAGACTGGTTGGGTTTCTTGGGATGGTAAAAACCAGTGTTTGCAGACAATAGATGGTGGTGATATGGCTAAAAGTCGTCCTCAATGGCTAGCGCAGATGCATTCACTCTTTCTGTGCTACATAGAAGAACTCTGGTAACTGGAACTTCTGCACATCATCTGTGCAAATTTAGTTCTACGTTGAAACTAGTTAGTCACAAAACAAAAACTTGTGTGGATTACTGTTGTGTAATGAATCGAAAATAAGTTGCATCTCCAGTTGTCACGTTATATATGTGTTATGTACTCGTCGCTAAATTATTGTTATGGACTGGTCGAGAAACTAATAGTCCTGACGCAAGAAAGACGGAAATCAGAAGACCACTAGGTTTGCGATGATACTTCTATTTTCCAAACACAAGGAGAAGCAATAAGTGGTATCACATCAAAGTAATCACACAAGATTTTGCGAGCGAAATATATATGAATGTACAAACAAGTGTGTGAACAAATCAATAGACAGTCTTAACATGAATGGCTAATTATAATGGAGTATCGATCCATATATACATAGCAAAATATAGCAGACATGTCAACAACCACACATATAATATGGATGTATGTCACCAAGCGACGGACTGTCAACAAACACTCATATTATATATAATATAATATAAGGAGAATACACATTATTAAAGGAGACAAGTTCATACAAGTGAAATGGTCACAGACTAAGCGAGCAAACAGAAAGAGAGACCAACATACACACACACACATAAATATATATATATATATATATATATATATATGTGGATACATATCAGTATGCATACAGGCATCTTCAGTGGTTCAATTATATTAATAATAATTATTATGATTAAAAGTTTTTAGCCATTTTACTCTGTGACACTTTTGTTTTTTTAATAAAATGTCTATATTAGCAGGACGTAATATTTCTATAGCTCGGTTGAATGCCTTCAAGCAGCGTATATTGCCTAGACTTCGTCAAGGTTCAGATCCACGTGTACTTATCTATGTAACAGATTTTTATGATCTTGAAGAATTACGCCAAATACTACGTGCTGAATCATTAGACTTTTGTTGTATAAATGAGTGAGTTTAAGCCTCATCTGATTTGTCTTTTTATTTTGTTGTTGGTTACTTCACTACTGATTAACTAAAATGAGTAGTATACAGTTATTTATCTCAATTAATACGTAGTATATATCCATCATTCATTTATGCTTGCTTTCTTGGTTATCATTTATGGTGGTATCAAGCAGATCATATATCGTGATAATTTGAATAATTTCGGTTTCCAAAAGAAACTTTAGTGACATTTCACCTCCTCGAATTTGGTTTAAAGATGAGTTAATTATTTGTTGTACTCTGATTGGACACTGTAACGTCAGAAAACAAGGGTCAGGCAATAGATCGTCTATTGAGGAAATCAAGAGATATTTATATATATATTGTTGTGTAAATTATTATTAGCACAGAAACAGCGTCTTCTGATTGGTTGTTTTCCCGCTGAAAGTTATTCTATCATCTCTTTGTGGCTGTTTCTTTGATGGTCGGACCGTCTGCGAATCGTATCCGCCCACGCAAAGTCTTTGTTTTTGTTTTTCCTCCGACCCCAATTCGGGACATGCACATTGACGTAAATTGCTGTCTATCAATTTTGGCTAGGAGGAAGCTCTCACCACAACACTAGTAATTAGTTTGATGTGTCTAGTCCTTACTTTGGTGCAAAATGAATTCTAGCAGTGAAGGTTGCAATGTGACCAATATTCTAGGTAGCTCACCATCACGGTACATATTTATTTGGTGATATTAGATGTTCAGAGGCAAACGGCCACGGAACAGCTCATGTCCCTTCTGAGATTCGAACCTGTGTCACCCAATTCCTTTAAGGTTGCAGATACGCCTCGCTGACGAATGCCGACTAGCACGAAACCTGGGTCCCAGCCTACCTCTGGCCGATTGCCTCCAACCATCTAATATCATCAAACCAATGTGCACCGTGATGGTGAACTACCTAGAATGGTGGCCACATTACAACCTGACTGATAGAATTCAGTCTGCACCAAAGAAAGGATTAGACGCATCATACTAGTTACTAGTGCCCAATCAAAATACCCACTACAGTCCTAAAGGATATCAATCGCGTGAGCCGAATAGTTCAATGGTAACGCTTCTGACTGCATCACTGGATGACACCGGTTCGAATCTCAGACGGGACATGAATTCCTTCAAGGTTGCAGATACGCCTTGCTGGCTAGTGAGTGCCAACAAGCACGAAACCTAGGTCCAAGCCTTCCTCTGGTCGATTGCTTCCAACCATCTAATATCATCAAACTTGTTGTACTACTGATAAATTCAATTCAAGAATTAGTTTGTCTGTCGTGGGAATTTGATTTGTTTCAAGTTTGATCAGCGATTTATATCAGTTAGAGAACCATTTAAAACCAGTAGGGAGTACTGAAGAACTAGTTATTTCGTGGTGGTTTGGTGTACTCGCCACCAGTATGCACCCCCCGGATTTCTAACCCAAGACCTTCCGGTGGTCGAGGTAAAATCATGAATTGCTAGAAGATAGAATTTATAGGATAGCCATCTGGTCAGGTCCCAGTAACTGAACGCTTTGAGAGCTTGTCTTGCAACCAGGAGTTTGAGTTTGAACCGCGTGTGCTGGGTGTGGTACTCACGATGAGTCGGAAACTAGGAAGAAACAGCGCTAGAGTTGTTCAGTACTCCGTGGTGGTCCTCAATATTTCTCTGCCTGAAATCAATCTGTGATCAAAATTCAATTCACTAGTAGTTTAAATAGGAATTTTTAAAAATGTAACTAGGAAGGAATGTGATATGTATCCACATATATACATTTATGTGTGTGTGTATTTTGGTCTCTCTTTCTGTTTGCTCGCTTAGTCTGTGACCATTTCACTTGTATGAACTTGTCTCCTCTAACAATGTATATTCTCCTTATATTATGTATAATATGAGTGTTTGTTGACAGTCCGTTGCTTGGTGACATATATCCATATATGGTGGTTGTTGACATGTCTGCTATATTTTGCTATGTATATATGGATCGATACTTCATTATAATTAGCCATTCATGTTAAGACTGTCTAATGATTTGTTCCCACACTTTGTCTGGAACATTCATATATAGTCGCATTCACAATCTTGTGACTTACACTTACCACTTTGGTGTGATACCACTTTTGCATTCTCCTTGTGTTTGGAAAATAGAAGTATCATCGCAAACCTAGTGGTCTTCTGATTTCCGTCTTTCTTGCGTCAGGACTATTAGTTTCTCGACCAGTCCATAACAATAATTTACCGACGAGTACATAACAGAATGTGATTTTCTGACTTACTCGTTTGTCTTATAGTTTAATTGACCGCAGATTCGAACAGGGCCCTACCTACTTCAGTAATATTTGAATAAAGCTTTATTTTAGACAAAATGTAAACACATAATACAGAAATTTTCAACGGATTTAGCTCCGAAATATTTCCTTCTCATGCACTGTTTACATGTAAAGTAGTAATAATCTGAGTTGTTATCATATGACGACGTAGCGTTGTCGCATATGAAGTTTTCTTCTTCACTTCTTTCAAGAATTGCACGACAGCGTTTAGTTGAAAGTTCATTAAATAAGCGTGTGACAGTTCTCGTATAGTGATGCCATTTAATATAATTACACGATTTAAACACTGAGAAATGCGGAAGAGTGTAGGGATTTTCATGGATGAAAATCTTGGTAGCTCAGTGATTTAAGCAGGCCGCCACGGTACGCTACTACTACTACTACCACCACACGGTACTGTGTATACCGACTAATAAGCATAAACTGTGAATATTTTTTATATCAAGTTTTTGCAACAATTGTTATTATTATCATTATACATTTTGTTTTATTTTTAGATATACAGAGGATTCAGAAGCTGAACGTTTTCGTACCCTGTTTTCTCATGGTCGTATTCGTATAATGTTAATCACTGAACGTTATTTCTTCTTTCGAAGGTTTGTCAATCATTTATATATACATATATATATATATATTTCAATTCTGATCAGCGATTGATATCAGTTAGCGAGTACTGGACTGTTAGCTGTTTCTTCCTAGTATGGGACTCATCGGCAGTATTCACCCACCACAAAGGTTCGAACCAAGCACCTTCTTTTTTCTGATTATAGCTTGATTCCACACCGTATTTTTTTAGTACAGGTATGGAATTTTCAGCATGTGTGATATCGGTAGACCAAATTTCACAGGCCGACCATATTATAGTAGATGTGCATCGGCAGGGAATCGAACCCCAGACCGTTGTGCTTGGCCGGCGAGTGTCATAATCTCTATGCCGCCGGCGCAGGGCGAGCTCGTAAGCTCCTAAGTCACTGAGACGCGCCAATCCAATAGGCCAGCCCATCAATGCTAACTCCTATGCTAATAGGTAATTTAAGCACAACGAGCACTAGTTAATGTCAACTGGCGAGTATTTGTCCTCACTCCCTACCGGTCTCGATTTCTTAATGGGGGACTCTGAACAATCTCTTCCTGTGATCAGTCACTGGTGAGCATCAGATAAATTTTGGATTGATATGCGCTAAGGAACCATTGGAAACCGGCCTAGAGTACTGGATAGCTAGCTGTTTCGTCCTAATTCGGGAATCATCATCAGCACCACGCTATTTCCTTTCTCATATGACTACTGACTGGGTTATACAAAATGAGTGCAACTGTTCATAGTTTCTGTTGCATTATTGTCATAAAAAGCATGCTAGTCGTTGTCTAATGGCACCTGTCATTATCATAGCTGAAATATCAACGCTATTTACCAACTAAGGAGCAAATTTCGCCCAGCTCACGTTTTTAAGTACTGTTTGGTCAATGTGTTAATATCTAATCGTATTTTAAACGCTTATTTCAAGAGTTGTATGCAGATAATCATAATATCACAAACAAATTCAGTCCTAAACGGTGTTACTTGTGCTGTAAATAGCTTAGTGATGCACTTTTCATTTCCACTGTTCTGTTAATGACGTCTAGATTGAAATAGACGACTCTGTTGAATACAAATGGCCCGTGCGTTGACATGATATTTACTTACTTATCACAGGACGTGTGTGTACTGAGCAGCAGTCCGCTCTGTCCTCCTTTATTTATAGCCAGAAGACATGGTGATTGGTATAGAGTATTAGGTAAAAAGAAGGCAGAAGTTAATCAAACTGCATCGAGTGAAATGGCTAGGACATGTGTTATGGTTATTTCGGTTCGCAGAAGACATTGCCATGCGAAAGACTTCGACCCAACCTATGCATAGAGAAAGAGAGTGTGACTAATGTCTCACTACCCTGGTAACCATAATTGTTTTGTTCTTTTGTGCATAGCATTGCACTCAATCTTGATTTTCACTCACTATTAAGGTTCTAAATCTACTAAATTAAGTAACGTCACAATTTTACTTCACTATTCACCCCTGGCCTTTAGAACTCTCCACCATAATATTATTGTTTGTTAATATTGTTCCTTTGGGTTCCTAGTGGAACATAGGGCTTCAACTGTACGTCTCCACTTGCCACTTTTGTCTTCTGCTGTACTTTTCACCTGCATCCATGTTAGTCCATACTGTTTCAACTCCTCTTCACACCAACTCCCCCATATCACCCTTGCACTGATGTCCCACTTGCCACTTTCCTTCCGGCCTGGTTCCACTGGAGCAATGGCATGACGCGCGGGCGATGTCACCCAGCGGCCTCCACCCAGCCAGTGTCCAATCCATCTCCACTTTCTCCTGCATATTTGTTGGGCGATTGGTTCTTGCTTTGTTTGTTCCCATAGTTGGTGATTCTTTCCGGCCCGGCCATCTAATCTTCAGTATAGATTCAGAGAAGACAGTTTTTGATAAAGGTCTGGTCTGCAACAGGCTGTTGGAAATATTCTTTGTGACCCGCCGCCAAGTTTCTGATCCGTATAGAAAACTGACTGACTTGACGTTGTTTGTATTGAAAATCCGACCGAATTTTGTTGTTGATGGTGGCTGAGTGACGAAGATTTCCAGATTGGTTTCAGCAGGTCGATAAATGTGTTTCTCGCCCTCCCGATTCGATTCTCACTTTGACATCCTCGTCCTTTCCAACTTCCTGTAGTTGAGACAATGCTCCCTAGATAAGTGAATGAAGTAACCTCTTTCAAATCCCTCCCGTTGATGGTGATTGGCGTTGGATGTTGCTGTTATTTGATTAGTTTCATCACCCCTGTCTTGTCTATGTTCACTTGGAGTCCTGTCTTCGCCGGCTGCTTCTTCGACCAGTTTGTCGGTTTTCGCTTGTAAGTCTTCGATTTTGTGGTGACATCAAACATAAATCATCCACGTGCGAAATGCAGGTCTTCTAGATTCTTCGCGTCGGTCCAGGATATCCCTGTCTTCTCGTTTCCCACTCACTGTCTGACGCATAATCCAGTCAGTCCACCACAATTAGGAATATCATCGGTGATAATAATAAGCACCCTTATCTGACTCCTGTGTTTACTCCAAACGCCTCGCTGAATTTACCGTTATGGATCACTTGAGATGTGCCGTTGTCGTACAGCTGTTGAATAAGGTTGATGAATATTTGGGATACGCCGTAGTACTCGAGGAGTTTCCAAATTACTTCGCGGTCAACGCTGTCGAAGGCGTTCTCAAAGTCTATAAAGTTGAGGTAGAGGTTTGATCGCCATTCCATGCTTTGTTAGATGATGATGCGTAGAGTTGCAATTTGGTCAGAACATGATTTGCCTTTCTTGAATCCAGCCTGTTCTGGTCGGAATTCTGCATCCAGTGTGTCCTTTATTCTCTCCAGGATGATTCGACTCCGGATTTTACTCGGCGTCGACAGGAGCATGATTCCTCGCCAGTTCTTGCAGAGTGAGGCGTAAGTCTCCCTTCTTTGGTAGTTTCACGAGGTAACCTTTCCTCCAGTCAGTAGGCACCTTTCCCTCCTTTCAGACCTTTTGCAATAATGGAGTCAGCATGTCTGCTGTAGTCTCTAGGTTCGCTTTTAGTGCTTCAAGGGGTATTCCATCTGGTCCAGCTGTTTTTCCAGCTTTCAGAAACTTGATTGCATTCAAGACTTCAGCTTTCGTTGGGGGATTGGTGTCAGCTTGCAGTTGTGTGCGTGCTGTTGTTGGTATTTCTGGACGGGTTGTAGGTAATGGTCGGTTCAAGAGTCCTTTGAAGTGGTCCGCCCATTGTATAATCTGTCTCTCTTCCCTGGTAATTGGGTTCCCTTGGCTGTCTTTTACAGGTTTCGCTTGCGTTGATCTCTTCCCGGATAGAGATTTGGTTATCTGATATAGTGTCCTCAGGTCCCTTTTGCCTGCTGCCTTCTCAGCTTCAGCGGCGAGGTTGTCGTAGAATCGTCTTTTGTCCTTCCTAGCACTCTTCTTCACTTCTTTGTCCAGTGCTGTGTAAGTTGAGCTCAGCATCTCCTTCTCCTGTCCGTCCTTGCATTGAATCATTTTCTCTTTCAACATTCTCCTCTCTTCTATTAGCATCCAAGTGTCCATTGAGGGCCATTCCTTTTCTTGTCTTTTCTTTCTTCCTAAAACAGTTGAACATGTTTCGTTGAAAATCACCTTCAGAGAGTTCCAGTGGTCTTCCAAGCATGATTCTTCAGTGATGTCGCGTAGTGTTTTCTGCTTTGCTCTGACAGTTGCAGTGAAGTGTCCTTTGTGGTTGTGTCCTTCAGTAATTGAGTGTTTAACTTACATTGTGGCCTATCCACAGCTATCCTCGAGGCTTTTAGTTTCACCTTGAAAGTCCCTTGTACTAGATAATGGTCTGACCCCACATCTGCTCCCCTCCTCGACCTTGTGTCCAGTAGGCTCCGTCTTCACTTTCTTGAAATTGAGATGAAGTCTATTTGATTCTTGGTGTTTCCATCTGGTGAAATCCATGTCGTCTTGTGTATCTCCTTGTGTTTGAACACACTACCGCCAATCACCAAATTATTGAAGGCGCAGAAGTCTGAGAAGAGTTCACCATTGTCGTTCATTTCACCGAGGGCCTGTTTGTAGCTGTCTGTAGAACACCTCCTTCCTTTCTTTTTCTGAAAAGTTTGTAGTCGCATAGCATTGATTAAAACCTTCTTTCCTTTTGAGTTGAACCTGGCTGTGATTATCCTGGAGGAGATTGGTTCCCACTGCATAAGAGCTTTGGGTTCTGTTGGTGACATCATGATGGCGACTCCCTCGGCGTGCTCGTGGTTGTCGTCTGGGTGGCCGGAATAGATTATTGTCTCTCCAGTTGGTAGTTGGCACCTACCACATCCGTTCCATCTGCTCTCGCAGATTCCCAGCATTCCTATTCTATATCTCCTCATTTCTACGGCTACCTGGGCAGCCTTTCCAGTTTCGTACATTGAGCGAACATTCCAGGTACCCGTCCTTCCTTTCGCTTTCATCGAAAGAAGGCACATCGGCTGACTGGCTTCCCGAAGGCTTTCACCAGCCTGCGTCATTTAGCTTCCCCGATTCTAGCTAAAAATAAGGTTACTGTTTATATTTTTAAAATTTCTGTAGCGATTTGGTTGAGTTTTGGGGGTGGAGTTGGTAGCGCCACGGCCCAACCCTCCCACTTTATCCGAGCTTGGGACCGGCTAGTGAACTAGCAAGCTAATAACCTAGACGAGTCTCTCCACCATAATATATGTAAATTAATTCTGTTGTCCTATCTTGTAATTTGTCTCTAGTCCATTGTTGTTTCCAAGAGAAATCTGAATTTTCCCATCTTGTCTAATTACTATCTGAATAGTTACGCTTTCATCACTAAATAATTGTCTAATTACATCATCTTCGAGATTATTTTGCTGATACTTTCTATCTATAATTTGAAGTCATGGTAAAAAGTATGCTCAGACAACATTTTGTAACGTGACTGATTTTGGCTAGGATGTAAGCAGTTGAAGAGAATCGTCGAAATAAAACGAGTTCGTATTATCCTGCAAATATGTTCATTTATTCTTTGATCAAACTAATATCATGTAATTTAGATATGATGGAGATGATTTCTAGCTCAGGTAGATTATTTTGATGTGGTTGTGTTCTCTAAGCTGGATAGTTAATTTGCGAAGCTTTCATCGCCCACCTTCTAGGCGACATCTTCAGCACATACACTTCAATTTGAATTCAAGTGAACTTTTAGATTTCTCCACGATTTTATCAATCATCTCTCCTGGTTACCTTTGGCGTGATTGGTTACTTTTTTGTGTTTTCACACCTTCTAGGCAGCTACTTGTATTGGAACTGGTTGTTTCTTTGACTTGAACTTTGATGGTTTGTGTGTGTGTGAGGTTTCTTTCTTATCGATTGATAAATTTCGTCTATCTCGATGTGTCTATTGATTATTGATGATTCATTGGAATACCAGACTGGTTTCTAAAAATTCTCTGGCTGGCATTCTTGTTGTTTCTTCTGTCTAATATTTGAAAGTTGGTTGTCCCAGTCGAATTGATGTCCGTGATTGTCTGTATGTAGTGATATGAGTGAGGCAGTGGATGTCATTTCTTTTGACGGCTAGCTTATGTTCGTGGATACGAAGAGGAAGAGCGTCAACTTTGACCAATGTAGTGATTTTCGCATTTGCGACTGTACAGCTTGTGGAGAAGAGCAACTCCTCTTTTCCCTTAACGTCTTTTCTTTTATTAAACGACTCAACGGATATTTTTAAGTTGTTTTTGTCAATTACTGTCATATCACCGGTGGATTTAGTCAATAATGTCTTCTATTTTTTTTATATTTCTAATACACAATGTAGACGAAAAATTCGTGGACCACAAACTTTCATCTTCTATGGACCGCCAACATTTCCATGGTTTGTTAAAGAATTATATGATTTTCGATATGTTGAAGATAATGCACAATACAATATGACTATTCTATACTCTCCATTGATTGAATCACACACTGTATCTATGATAACTGGATCCATTGAATGTTAACATTGAAAATATGCATACATATATACAATATACATTATGTACAGCTATGATTTGGTCTTTCTCTTAATTCTTATTTGTGTCTGTTATGTTTGTAAGCCATACACATATTCACTGCAATGCTGTGGTATTCGGTGGGGAAAGTAAATGCAGATTATTATTTTGATTTCTGAGAAAATGTGTTCTATGGATAAGCTGTGTTACCAGGGAATAACAGTCTTGTTGACGTAGGAGTATGCAGATGATATAGTCCTTCCAACCAGGTGAAGACGCTGAAAAAATACGGAATCTTCTGACAACTTTGAGGAGCAGCAATCTTCGAATGTTTGCCATGCGATTCGAGCATTCCTGTCAAATGTAAGATGATGCTACTGGACTGGATTACATCACCTCACACCTAGCTTAGAGATTGGCTGGATTGAAGTGGTTGGTGGACAGTGTTGACCACTTCACTTATTTGGGAAGTTGAATCAGCTCAAACAAGTTGATCGCTGATGAAATTCTAGCACAGGTACAGAAAAATCGTTTGGCATTCGCCTGCTAACTTACGCCATCTTCGGCTTAGTGGACGGGATATCCGGCTGTCTGTCTATCAAAGGAAGTATAGTGTGTACTGTTCAGCCGTAGTTCGCTCTGTCCTCCTTCATGGCTGGCTATAAGATATGGCCATTGAAAGTGGAAGACATTTAAAGCCTGGCTATCTGTCTTTGGCCAATCTGCAACCTTGACTCCAATCGACGTATCCAATACTGTTGGTCAATCGCGATCCCGAATAGCTCAGTGGCAACATCTCTGACTGCAGTATTCACTGGGTGACGCGGGTTCGAATCTCAGAGAGTTCCTTCAAGGTTTCAGATACGCCTTGCTGACTAGTGAGTGCCAACTAGTACGAAACCTAGGTCAGGTGGGGCTTCTTGTGGCCGACTGCCTCCAAGTACCTAATAACAACAACAATCCAAAGTGGACGGTGAAGGCGAGCCATCTAGAATGCTGGCCACATTGCAAACGTGACTGATAGGATTCAGTATGCACCCCGCAAAAGATTACACAAACTACACTAGTCACTGACTAGTGTTCAGTGAAAGAGATACTGCATCGATAGTTCCACTCCAAGCCAGGATGTTCTTCATAAACACAATCGACGCGAATTCGGTTCCCTCACTTAGGGAATAGTAAGCTTAACCGAAAGAGGAAGGGAGGGAGGGCTCAATGTGAGGCTAGCAGTCCCAACTCCTACAAAGAACAGCACCACCATCGCCATTAAAAATCTCTACAAAGCTCAAGCCTATTTCACTCGAAACGCAGAAAATGGAAAGTAGGATTTATGATCACAAAAACAAAAAGCTTCAAAAGTTAGCAAATTTATCATTATTATTATTGGTTAGTATTGAGCAAAACAGTTACAATCAAATATATAGAGCAATTAAAAGTTGTGTGTGATATGTATATATATATATATATATAATATGGGATGATTATTTTGGTGATGAATTGGTTAGAGTTAGATTCCTGAGAGCACTTCACAGAAGACATCAGAGTACACACTACTGAGAGTAGTGTTTTGATAGATAATGTGCTGTGTGTACTTTGAAAAATGTAGGGTTCCTGTATTGCTTTTATTATTAATAATGACGCTGATGACGTAATCATGATTTTGGTCCAGTTAAAAAAAAGAAAATAAATAAAATAAACAAAAAAATTCGGTTGTTTACCAACCAATAAAGGCAAATTTGATATCACAGATATGCGTATTATATGTGTTATGATATGTTGTTCTTTTTTTAGTTAGGCAAGTTAGAAATTGACGCTTTCAGGAATGACATTACAAAAATTTAAGTAGTTTATCCTGTAGAATAAGTAGTATAGTCAGTGAGATTAAAAAAATATACATTTAATCAAAAGAAGTGCAAAAATAAACAGTAGTAATGATAATAGTAATAATAATGAAGAGTCTTATAAATGACGTCGAATAAGTACCACCAAACCATCGCGTCATTTGAAGGATTCGTAGAATCATCTTTTTGAGGGATAGTGTGTAAGATGATTCCATTGAATCATTGAATTCAAGATGCTTTCATTGAGAAAGACACCAGATTAAATTTTTTGTTGAATAGCACAATCCACTCGAATTTCTTGATTGATTTTTGTAGCACCAATGCGATTCATTGTACACTCGAAACGGCCAATTGGTTGATATTGGGCCTCTTTACACACTTTCATAAAATGATTATACTCCAACTGTTTAAAACGCCAAGGGATTGAAAATGGTGTCAAATGATTGACATACTGTTGAATGAAAAGTGAGAGAATAGAAAAACAAAAGAGAGGGAATTAAGACAAGACAATGTGGTACGTTAAGCACACAAATACATTCAGTGAGTGGACTCTTTTCAACAACGAATTTACCATGAAGCTGTACAATCGCATATACATGGATTGTTTTTAAGAAACTTTATCCAGTGATGGAATTAGGTCTAAGGTGTGAATACATGAAATAATAATAGTAGTAGTATGAAATGCAATTAAAATATAAGGATAGACACGGATACGAGAGCATATTCTAGCATGGTTTCACAAGGGAGAAAGGAAGTGTGTGCGAAGCTATATTCTACAACCCTGACCATGATTTTAAGATCATCTACCGAATCCATGCAAACTTCCCGCGTTTCTTGGTTACAGACTTCTAAAGACAGCGGGGGCCCTGCCCGTTCATGACTATAAGCCAGACATTTGTGTACGAAAAAAGCATGTACAATCCCTACTTCTGTTTTGGCCGGGACGGTAAAAATCTATGGTTGGAAACAATTGGTGACATGGCTCAAAACCGTTCTCAGTGGCTGGCGCAGATGCATCCACTCCCTGTGACTTATGATCTTCAATGAAACTGTTTTGTATTTCTTCATTACTCCTTTGTCTCACACCTCTGCTCACTGTTTCTATTATGCTTTTCTTGTACTTTCTTCTCTTGCTTTGTGTGCTACACGGGATGTGGCGACTTGAACTTCCGCACATTTGTGCAAAGTTCTATGTCGAAAACAGACAGACGTAGAGAAATAAATATTTATTTATTTTGTCTATTTAGTTATTATATGTACCTTTCCTTTATTACTACGATGTTTATTACCATTACTATTCTCACTCTGAATTGTTTCCACTTGTCATTCTGAATCAAAACATTTTTTCTACGATGTCGAATTCCATCTTATCGAATTTCACACCATATTATGTAACGTTTTATATTCGCCTACTAATCTTATAATCATGCACCCCTTTCCAATATATATACACCTTGTGTATTATTCTATATATGACATTAATTATTTTGCTACTTGACATTTAACTATGATTACAATCACAAATATTTTAATTACATTTCATACTACTACTACTGTGGTGAGAGCTGGCTGCTAGCCAAATTGGTAGACAGTAATTTACGTCAATATTTACGTCCCCAATATTGTTCGTGAGAAAATAAGAACAAGGACTGACACAACAACCAACCACAGCAGACTTTGTTTGCGTAGGCGGATACAGTTAACAACATATAGATGATCTGACATTCAAGAAACAGTCACAAAGAGATGAACGACTAACTTTCTGTGAGAAACAACCAATCATAAAACTGTTTGTCAGCTAACAATAATCTATAATAATGTACATGAAAATCTATAAATATGTGTTGATTTCCTTAATAAATGATCTGTTGCCTGGCCCTTGTTTTCTGTTGTTACAATAGTAGTAGTGTAGCGTGGCAAGAAATTCAGGTGGAAGTGTTTATTCCTCGAATTTCGGTTTAGTTCACACGTTGTGGACATGAAATAATCTCATTGGACAACCTTGTTTGACCTTGGTGCAACTGCAAACCAATCAGAACAGTCTATCCTCGTCTCACCTAGCCGAACTCTGTGGCTGAGAATGTGTAAACACAATGTCTTTTTCCGTAATGGAAGGTCCGTTACCAAGTTTCTCATATTCTCCCGTCACAGTAGTATGTATGTAATTCCGTATTATAATTTCTTTATTCGATATTACACACACCTTTCCAGAGTGAAGTAATCTTAGTTATTTAATGACAGGGATTCGAACACAGATCTTTATTGCTTTCCATAATGCATCACTTGTGAATTCTTGAAGAAATAACAACTCTAATTTTTGTGCTTTTCCTTCGTTCGTTACTTCATTATGTTTGCATCCCTGAAAGCAGTTGGGTAGATCAGTATCTTTTAAACACTGAAGGGGCAGTCTGTTTGAATCCCTAGGCTATCTGTGAATTTTCATTCAACATAAGGGGTCATATCATATTTTTTCTCGAATTCTTATTGTTTTAATCGTTGGATAATGTCATTGACTCGTTTTTGTATCGATTCAAAGTATTTCTGTTTTGTCGCTCCCAAACACCCCACCCCCACCTTTCCGATACAGTCTTCCGCATAATCTAGTTCACCACAATTAGGAAGATCATCAGTGATGATATAAACAATGGTGAAATCTTATTCTGTGCAATCTATTGTTTTTCTTTTGGTTATATTCGAAGAAAATCTCCTTTATCGACAGTGTCATCTTCAATGGTATTGCTCTTCTGACCATTCCAAAAAACAATCTCCACTCTAGTACAACAAAATTCAAAGCTTAACATCCATTGCAACGATAGAAGACGAAAATACTTGACAAAGGAATGTTTATTTACAATACGGCATCTCTATATATAGCCAAATTATGTACACCAACTTATCTTCAATGCACCATTTACACAGATCTTCCGTGTTGTTCTACTTCTCGTCTTCCTCAACATTGTGTTCCTTTCACTGACGTCTCCCACTTATCTCCACAATGCTGTAACATTTGCTTTTTCAGACATCAAATCTATCTCCCTGCTGTTTTATGTTTTTATGCTGATAAACATCCCTTTATATACTACTGATAAATCTTATCAGTAGCAAACGCCACACCATCGTGTCGGTAACTATTATGCAATTACTTTCTGTCTGTAGAAACAACTTCTGAGTAAGTCTATTTTACACAGCCCTTATATATAACTCAATAATTGACTGCTATACCTTTTGAATACAGTATCATTATTATTATGTTTTCTTTAATTCCTAGAGGAACATACAGCTTCAATCGCACGTCTCCATTGCGCGTTAGGTTCTCTGCTAGAGTTTACACCTGGCTCCAAGTGAGCCCATATACCTTCATCTCCCATTCACATGACTACCTCCATGTCACCCTCTCAATGACGACCAACTAGCCGCTTCCCATTCGGGTTCCACTCAAGCGACCGCCTGTCGTGTGATGTCAAATGACAATTCTGTTAAATATGCTGACGGCCTGAATGTATCTTCGCCTGTCAAGTGTCAAAGCGACTGCTCCAAACTAAATGGCTTCTTATTAGAAATCAGCCAGTGGTCCAAGGAAAACGGTCTAACCTTAAATCCCTCTAAATGTCAAACAGTCAATTTCACCGGTAGGCATAAATCTGACCTAAAAAAACCGGTTAACAGTCACGAGGTGTGCAACATAGATGGCGATGAAATAGGAACTAAGTCAGAAATTAAATAAATATCTTGGCGTCATTCTATCTGCTGATCTTTCCTGGTCGTCTCATATCTTGATGATTTCTAAGAAAATATTCCGTCTTACCTTCTACATCAAGAAGCTAAGATATTCTGGAATAACCTAGCCCAACGCTTACTCTTACGATTCGTTAACTCTTGCATCCTGCCTATTATTTTCTATTGTTCCCCCTTAGTTTTTCCAGGGCTACTGAAGAAGGACTATATCCCATTACGTAGAATGTTAGAGATTGTCAGCAGGGTAAGCCACAGGGTGCCACTTAACCAGCTTGTTAATATTCTGGTTGACAGGGACTTGGACTCATGTGAAAAATGGGCTAAATCCATTCTATCTAACTCACACCACCCTCTTCATTCACAAATCTCCCATTGTATCTCATCAGGCATTACTAGAAGCCTATAAAGAAAACTATATGCTCGCACTAGTAAGTGCGTCGGTGGCACAGTGGTTAGGACTCTCGCCGACCATGCACATCGTCGGAGGTTCGATCCTCTGCCGACGCACACCTGATATCTATGGTCGGCCTGCAAAATTTGGGCTACCGATATCAATACTGAAAATTCCATACTTGTACTAAAAATACAGTGTGGAGTCAAGCTGTAAATAAAAAAACAATAAGAATAAAAATACAAAAACTCAACCATACTCTACTTAGCTCATGTTCTGTGCGAGAGAGAAAGCATTAGACGTGAAACTTATAACTTATTAAATAGTCAGTAGAACAAATGGATCTCGTCTTTCAAGCTCATATCATTTATAGGTACAACGTTTTTCTTTCTTTCTTTTCCTTTTTTTGTTATGTGCTGCTTTGTTTCTCTCTTCCTTACAAACTCTACTTAAAACATTCTTCTTCGTTCTTTCACACTCTGTATATTTCGACCCTTTTGTTACCGCTTACGCCAGTAAATATGCTAGTAGTATCTACTTTTCTAACACCTTCAAGCACTCTGTTCGATTTTGGCTTTGCTAGCGACATACCAATATGTTGTTGTCATAAGGAACTGAGACTACCCATAATCTATATAGAATTTTGTTTATGGTTAATGTACAAACTGGATGCAGGAATTCCTGTATGTAGTGAAATGCTGAGAATTCCATTCTTTATCGCAAGTACTGTTTTTGAATAAAGCAAATTATTATTATTATTATTGTTATTATTATCAAGATAACCATTTCATCGGTGATAAAAAAGAAAATTTTTTCCCTCTGTCGTGAGTTGTCCTTTTAACTGATTGAAAATGCCCATTAAAATTTTCAAAAGAATGGAGACTGCAAAAAAATACTCTTTTCGATAACCCCTTGATCATCAGGCTCTAGAGTTATATATACACATTATAGTGAATCAATGAATTAGTGTTATGAATACCATTAATGTTGCTGTTTAAATAACATGGGATCTGTAATAATAATAATAATAATAACAATGGATTACAGTTCAATAGCATCAACATGACAATAAACTGAATGCCACAAAAATTAGGAAAGATAATAATACAAATTCATGAATTCATAGTCCCATACTGAAAGCCGGCCAGGGCAGTAGTAGTGGCTGGACTTAAGTCTCCTCTACACTAAGCACTGACTGTTTTACGCAAATCCCGATAGTCTTTGCTGTATGGAGTATGCGCTACCTCTCGATATCTTTGGCAATTTATTTGGTACCCTGTAAATGATTGAGAAGGATTCTTCAACAATGTCATTTAAGAGCGATATACCAAGCGAAATAACTACGATGAAATTAAGAAAATCAGTTCAAAGAACTTTTATTGCTGCTTTGTGCACAAGTCTTACTTTCTACACGAGCGATGGTGATTCCTCAATTGAAAGATGAAGTACCTAGACTCACCACTTCAAATTGTATCTATCAATTCAACTGCGCTTGGATATAAGAATAAAACTTGTGATGGAGCGAGTTATATCGGTCGTTGCCTCTAGGGAACTGATTTTTCCCTAGCTCCAGAACATCGCCCATTATGACTAAGTAAAGGTGTAGTAAAAACCATCAGCAGTTCGATATTAGACCAACTGCTCCAAACTGGCCACGAAGCAGCCAGCATTGAAGAATCCTTCTCTGTCATCTACCGGGTACCAAATAAATTACCAAAAATCATCGAAACACCGCATGCTCCAAACAGCAGAGGCTATTGTAATTCACCTCAAACAACCAGTGCTTTGTGTTCAAAAGAAGCAAGTCCAGCCCCTACAACTGCCCTGGCCTTCAGTAGAAACTATAAACTCATGAATTTGTAATATTATCTTTCTTAATTCTTCTGACATTCGGCGTATTCTATGTTGATGCGATTCAGCTGTTATCTATCAGTATCATTGATTCGATGTTATTGAAACAGCAACATTAATGTTGTTCATAACACTAATTCATTCATTCACTATAATGTATATATAACTGAAGGGGTTATCGAAAAGAGTATTCTTTGTTCACTAACCATTCTTTTGAAAATTGTCCTTTCTTAATTCTCTTCATAAAAGTTAAAAAAATATTATACACAAAGAAAAAAAAAAGGTATAACTTACAGCTTTAGTAAGTTTATTGTCTAAAATATCACCATTCAACGATTCAATAGGCTTTTCCTCATTACTTTCAAACAATTTATCAACAGATCCTGCTTTCAAGAAATCATTTTTATGAGTAGCCGTAGTAGAAGTAGTGGTAGTACGCTCCTCAGCAAGTTTTGGACTTTCATCAGCTGCAGGGGAACTACGTGTTTTTGACAGATTTCGATGTTGAGATTTTTGTTGTTGATTACCAGTTGAAGAACTACGCAGAACTTGACGTTTATGTTGGCCAGGAGTAGTCGGAGTAGGTGGAGGTTTACAAGCCGACAGAGAAAATCGCATATTTGACAATTCAAATGTGACTGGCTCTCGACATGGTCTTTCAAGACTACAGTATAACTCAGGTGGGATAATACAATCTGGATCTGTGTCGACACAAGCGATATGCAAGCTGAATATAATGCTGTAAATGTAAGCGTAGCAAAAACAGAGAGAATGTAATACGTATTACGGTTATTTGAGAAATGTACTTGAGGAGAAATAGAATTCGGCTGGTAAACTAGCTTGCTAGTTTTTTAGCCGGGTCTAATCAAGACTCTGTACTTTACAGCGAGGAGAATATATGCTCTATAGAGAAAAATGGAGGAAGAATTTGAGTTTCTTGAAAATATATATTGAAAAGCAATGGAGATGGATCGGCCATTAAGTTGAGGAAACCATCAAGTGACATCACTAGACAAGCTATCGCTCGAGTGGAACCTGAAAGGGAAGCGGCGAGTTGGTCGTCAGTGCAAGGGTGACTTGGAGGAGGTCATGTGAAGAGGAGATGAAAGCATGTGGGCAGACTTGGAGCGGGGTGAAAAAGTCGGCAGAAAACCGAAGGCAATAGAGACGCGCAGCTGAAGCCCTATGTTCCTCTAGGAATTAAAGGATATAATAATAATGGGTACCTTCAAAGGTTCATCAACAAGTATGGAAGATCTGAAGCCACAAAGGTAAAACAAATCACAGTGGGTAAAAACCCAATCTACTTTCAGCTTGATTATAAAGGTGAAAACATTGCTGCGATGATCAACAGAAGGCTGAGTAAATCACGAGCTAGAGCCTATCCTGCAGCTAACCTCGTTCCCGTCTACCGAAAAACTTTCTATTTGATCCAATCGAAAATCGATAGATATTCTTCTCGTGTTAACTCCAACTGTATATACAAACTGACATGTTTCTGTGGGAGCAGTTAAATTGGACGAAAGGAAAGAAGGGGATATCCACAATTTTCTGAACATGTACCAAAAAGCTTATGTCTAAAGGGAACAAATGCTTTAAACAGTGCCATCGCTGGCATCTCTTTGACACTACCGGTCATGAGGTGGACGTTGAAAAGTTGTTCAAAATTATCAATAGGCGAAAGAGCTCAATCCTCCTCAAGTTTGCTGAAGCCATTTCCATCAAGCGCCTGAAACTTGATTTATGCGTCCAGAAAGAAGCGGTTATCAGTCTTTCTTTGACCTGACTGGTAACTGGATATTTTTCATCTCTCTTTCATCTGAATGAGAAATGCTAAAAGTTTCCATTGTGTATGACTATTATTGTTCGGAATAGTGTTTAATATTGCATATATATGTATAGATTATTAGTGTATGCGTATATATTTATCGATTGATTTTTGTTTAAGATGAACTCGCTGTGCAAGTATGTTAAAATTGTTGTTCTAGATATATTTAATAATGAATGTCTTTGGCCTGTTAGCAGCTGACGAGAAGGCAACGACATAAACACAATGATGGTACCACTTTATTCTGCTAAAATTGTAGTTCTTGCTTTGTTCACATACATTAAGGGGAATAAATGTATGAAATAAATATGGAGGGTTGGGCGTCGTGGGGCAGCTAGCAGCCCTATACCAAAAAGGCTATCAAACTGCTAGAGAAAATTCAATGCACAAAAAGTGAAATTAAAAATACAAAAAATTAAAATAACAATCTTAATCTTCGTTGGAATTCCAGAGACGAAATGACAAAGCGGGGCCGGGTGGCGAAAGCCTTCGGGAAGTCAGTCAGTCAGTCAGCCAGGCGATATGGCTTCTCTTGATGAAAGTAAGAATAAGAATGGGGACAAAGGAATGCGCATACTACTATGTATGAGACTGGGAAGACTGCCCAGGTAGCCAACAAAATGCGAAGATGGCATAAAAGTGTTGGGTATCTGCAACAGGAGGCAGGGTAGCGAAGACAGGATTACAAGTAAACATAGAGAGAAGGAGGAGGTGATGCAGATGACCGACCAACAGCAACAACAACAACAACAATCAGCATCTCAATCAACCATCAACGGAGAAATTTTAAGGATGTCACTTCTTTCACTTATCTAGGAAGCATCATTTCAACTACAGGCGGAGTGGATGAAGATGTCAAAACCCATTTCAGAATCGAAGAGGCAGGAAAAACACCTTCATTAATGTGAAACCGCCTTTGTTAATCTTCTGCACTGACTCAGTCAGCATAAGAGACAAGATTCAAATTTTCAACATAAATGTAAAGTCAGTTCGTCTATACAGGTCAGAAACTTGTAGTACGTGTCACGAAAACGATTTCTAACAGGCAGTTGCAGACCTTGATCAACAGTTGCTATCTTCCCTGGCTCCACCATACTGAAGATCAAAATGACCGGCAAGCCAGGAAGAATTAGCAACAATAAATTCTGCAGTGGAATGGACCAACAACCAAGAGTCGATCGCTCAACAAACATGTAGAAGAAAATGGAGATGGATTGATCGCGCACACGCCATTGAGGAGGCCATTAAATGATATCACGCATCAGGCAATGCCTCTAAAGTCTGTCTGTCTGTTTTCAACATAGAACTTTGCACAAATGTGCACCAGTTCAAGTCGCCACACTCCGTGTAGCACGCGAAGCAAGAGAAGAAAGTACAAGAAAAGCATAATAGAAACAGTGAGCAGAGGTGTGAGACAAAGGAGGAGTAATAACGAAGAACAAAACAGTTTCATTGGAGATCATAAGTCACAACGAGTGAATGCATCTGCCCCAGCCACTGAGAACGATTTTGAGCCATGTCACCAATTGTTTCCAACCATAGATTTTTACCGTCCCGAGGACCCCAGCCTGGAAGTCTACACCTTTCTACGTGGCTTAGACCAACTGTTGTGGATTTCATTGACTGGTGAGGCCATGTTTTTGTTTGACCGCCGCTAGCTCTTTTCCAGCCTGACCCTATATCCGCTAACATTTCCCGTCGAGGGAGGCGATGGCTTGGTATACATAACACATGTCCTAACCATCTCAGTCTTTGTAACTTCACGACTTCGTCGATTGATTTCCCCTGTTTACCTAGAACTCTACGCCTAACCTCAATGTTTCTCACCTTATTATGCCACTTTACACGGGAAATAGAACGCAGGCACCTATGATCAAAGACAGCTAGTCTTTTCATGTCTTCCACTCTCACTGGCCAGGTCTTACAACCATAAAGGAGGACGGAGCGGACTGATGAGCAGTACACCCGCCCTTTGGTCGATAGTCGAACATCTCGTCTACGCCAGAGTCGGCGTAAACTAACAAATGCGAAACGAGCCCCTTGTATTCGTGCTGATGCCTCTCAAGTGGATTCCAAAAGGGGTAGGAACGAGTGAGTCATCGGTGAGAGGGTGACATGGGGGAGGGGAACGTGTGGCGAGGGGGGGGGGGAGATGCGAGATTATTGGCAATCATCGGGTTAGCCATTTGAAGACGATAGCAGAAAATAGAATAAAGTGGAGATGTGTTGTTGAAGCCTTATGTTTCACTCGGAATCCAAGGAAAAATAATAATAATAATAATACTTCAGCAAATATTGCCAATGTGAGTGTAGAATTTGTTGAACCCTCTTTTTTTCTGGAGAATACCCTGCTTAATACTGTCATCTTGAATTCTTTTTAGCAGAACATCTCTGTTTCGGTATGTGAAGTCAGTTTATGGTTGAGCCATATTGAACGTTTTGAGGTGTGTCTTCGGTATCGATTTTATTTTTATGTAGGATGAAAGTATCATCCATATATCTATAGTTGAACAAGAGTTTGTTGATTACATTTTGAAGCAAGCGGAATATTCTCCAATTTTTCCATAAACACATCGGTTAAGAGAAGAGACTATTGGTTGGGCCTTCCACCACTTGACGGTATATATCTCGTTGTTAAACTGAAACTGTACATTAATTGTACGACTGGAGTAGCAGTTCACGTGGTACTTTAAGTGGTATACCTACTTCCATATCATTCCTCATCAAAGATTCATAGATGAAGTCGATAGTCTCTAACAAAAGGAACGTTAGTGAGAACAATGAAGTGGCATTCGTAGAGATCGTTGTTTCATCATCAACATCATTGATCTTTTTATCTCTCACTTCTTCTATAAATTCAAAAATACCCTTCAAGATATAGACACGTTTTATAGTATACATGAGAAGTTTCATACATTAACACATAGCTATCACAATACACTTTTTACAGCTGCTTGAAAGCATCTAGATAGTTAATCAACTGTGGTGAAAGCTGTTTGCTAGCCAAAATTGGTAGTAACAGCAACTTACGTAAATGTTAACGTCCCCAATATTGGTCATCAGAAAAAAACAAGAACAAAGACTAACTCAACAACCAATCACAACAGCAGACTTTGTTTGCGTAGGCGGATATGAAACGCAGATATATGGTCTGACCTTCAAAGAAACGGCCATAAAGAGATGAGGGAATAACTTCCAGTGAGGAAACGACCAATCAGAAGACGTTATCTCTCTGCTAATAACAACGATTAATAATGTACATAAAAATATATAAATATCTCTTGATTTCCTCTATAAACGATCTGTTATCTGGCCCTTGTCTTCTGTCGTTACAAAACTACCGAGGATTTTACGATGTGTATGTAGTAAATCTTATTGACAGATAATACACATAACTCACTGTTTGGATTTGTGGAATTTTTAAACATAAACACATCTATAATTGTATATATTGTTGGATTTATATGTTCAAGTTGCTCCAAGTCAGTGAGTTTATGGTTAAGATATCATTTTAGTTAACAATACTGAACTATATTGCATGTTGTCTTATTGTATAGTTGTCGTCGCTTTTTGCCCTTTTTTCTGTGAACTGTTTCCTTTGTTGATGTTGTTCTCATTGTTTGTCCGTTATTTTCTGATTTTGAGGGGAGCAACCCAAAAAGTTGCTTCTCTCTAAACTTTTACTTAATGTAATCATTCTTTTCTCAGGCGTGAGGCTAGCAACCCCACCCTGTAAACAAAAATTGCTAAAGAAACTTCAGTATGTTGAACCTCCTTGCACCAAAAGAAAAAGTCTGTGTAGGAACATGGAACGTCCGAACTATGTACGAGACTGGGAAAGCTGCCCAGATCGCCAACGAGATGAAAAGATACGGAATACAAGTGCTGGGAATATGTGAGAGCAGATGGAATGGGAGTGGACTCACCAAATTGTCAACAGGTGAGTCAGTGATCTACTCCGGTCACCCAGAAGATAACCACACGCACACCGAGGGCGTGGCTATCATGATGTCACCAACGGCAACGAAAGCCCTGATACAATGGGAGGCGATTTCGTCCAGGATAATGACCGCCAGGTTCAACTCCAAAGGAAGGAAAGTGTCAATCATACAATGTTATGCACCCACAAACAACGCAGACCTCGAGAAGAAAGAAGAATTCTACAGGCAACTACAGGCAACAATGGACAATACTCCAGCTGGCGACATGAAAATACTAATGGGAGACATGAACGCCAAACTGGGACCAGACAATACGGGAAGGGAACTCATCATGGGTAGAGAAGCTCTAGGAGAAATGAATGAAAACGGAGAACTCTTCGCCGACTTCTGCGCCTTCAACGAACTGGTGATTGGTGGCAGTGTATACAAGCACAAAGATATCCACAAGGCTACATGGGTGTCACCAGACGGGCAAACCAAAAACCAAATCGACTTCATCTCAATCTCAAGGAAGTGGAGGCGCAGCCTACTGGACACAAAAGCAAGAAGAGGAGCAGACGTTGGCTCAGACCACTATCTCGTACAAGGGACAATCCAAATCAAATTAAAAGCTTTCAGGGAATCAGGAGCTGCAGATAGACCACAAGCCAAGTTCAACACTCAAAAGCTGAAGGACCAGGCTACAAAGGACATCTTCATTGCAAGCATAAAGGACAAAGCCGAGACACAAATCAACACTAGCGAAAAGGTCGGCGTTGAAAAGCACTGGAACAACTTGAAAACGGTGTGGAGCCAAACCTGCATAGAAATTCTAGGCAGAAAAAAGAGACAGGACAAACAGTGGCTCACTACGGACACTTGGAAACTAATAGAAGAGAGAAGGACAGTGAAGCAAAAGATTATCCAGTGCACTGACGAGCAACAAAAACAGGAGCTGAATGCAAGCTACAATACACTGAACAAAAGAGTGAAGAAAAGTGCCAGGGAAGACAAAAGAAAATATTATGAAACCATGGCAAACGAAGCAGAACAAGCTGCAGGCAAAGGAGACCTCGCCACACTCTACCAAACAACTAGGAACCTTTCGGGCAAACGTTCGACACAGATTAAGCCAATAAAGGACGACAATGGAAAGTCAATCACCAAAGAGGTGGAACAGAGAAAGCACTGGGTTGAACACTTCAAAAGACTTCTAAATCGTCCGCCACCTACAACACGTCCAGCAATACCAACAACGGAAGCAGAACTACCAGTGAACACTGACCCCCCGACGAAATCAGAAGTCCTGAATGCAATCAAGATGCTTAAAACTGGGAAAACACCGGGACCAGATGGAATCCCAGCAGAGGCTTTGAAAATAGACCCAGAGACAACAGCGGACTTGATGACACCACTACTGGAGAAGGTGTGGAAAGAGGGCAAAGTACCCGAGGATTGGAAGAACAGTTACTTATTCAAACTTCCAAAGAAAGGAGACTTAAGTCAATGTAAAAACTGGCGTGGAATTATGCTTCTGTCCATTCCAAGCAAGATACTAAGTCGCATCATCCTGGAGAGAATCAAACAAGCCCTAGATGAAAAACTTCGTCCGGAACAGGCTGGATTCAGGAGAAACAAATCATGTATTGATCAAATCGCCACTCTACGGATCATCATTGAACAAAGCTTGGAATGGCAGTCACCTCTCTATCTCAACTTCATCGACTTTGAAAAGGCCTTCGACAGCGTCGATCGAGAGGTCATTTGGAAACTACTTCGCTACTACGGGGTCCCATCGACAATTATACACCTCATCCAACAGTTATACGACAATGCTGCATGCCAAGTAATCCACAACGGGAAACTTACGGAAGCCTTCGAAGTGAGGACGGGAGTGAGGCAAGGCTGTCTACTATCACCAATGATCTTCCTGATTGCAATTGATTGGATAATGCGACAGACAACGGCAACCAACGAGGGAACAGGCATAAAATGGACTGACACAAAAGACTTGGAGGATCTGGATTTCGCCGATGATATATGTCTGATTTCCCATAAACTGGAAGATATGCAAGTGAAAAGTAACAAGTTGGCAGAAGAAGCATCAAAGATAGGACTTCACGTGAACATAGATAAAACAGAGATAATGAAGATTCCTAGCCAACATCAACAGCAACAACAACAACAGACAACAATAAGCATAAATGGGAAGAACCTGAAAGAAACAACCTCCTTCACCTACCTGGGAAGCATCGTCTCAACTACAGGCGGAACTGACGAGGACATCAAAGCCAGAATCGGAAAAGCAAGACAAGCTTTCATTACTCTCAAATCTGTGTGGAGGTCAACAGCAATCAGCATCAAAAATAAGATCCGGATTTTCAACTCCAATGTGAAGTCAGTGCTACTATACGGATCAGAGACTTGGCGAGTCATAAAGAGCATCTCAAACAAACTTCAAACCTTCATTAACAACTGTCTCCGCTCAATACTCAAGATCAGATGGCCAGAAAAGATCAGCAACAGGGATCTCTGGGAGCGAACCAATCAGGAACCGATTGTGAAACAAATAGGCAGAAAGAAATGGAGATGGATTGGCCATACGCTGAGGAAACCATCAAGTGACATCACTAGACAAGCCCTCGAGTGGAACCCGAAAGGGAGGCGGCGAGTTGGTCGTCCAAGGGTGACTTGGAGGAGGTCATGCGAGGAGGAGATGAAAGCATGTGGACAGACCTGGAGCAGGGTGAAAAAGTTGTCAGAAAACCGAAGTCAATGGAGGTGCGCAGCTGAAGCCCTATGTTCCTCTAGGAACTAAAGGATACAATAATAATAATAATAATAATGTAGTAAATCACCCATTCACATTTATAAAACAGGCGTGAAATGGCTGTAAAAAACAAGTTATTCTCAAGTTACTACTTTGTCTGACTTACTATGATTTAAGTAGTGGGAACATATTCAATCTGAATGCCAATGGTTTGATAATATTCACTGGTAAAATACAATAATGTCCACTAGGCATTGAAAGAGCAAACTGGAAAGAAATTAAAAATTATCATGTGTTGTGGTTAGCAGAAATTAGATTGGCTACAGGATTGATCATAACCTGACATCAATTGGAAAACCGATAGAAAACTACGGAGTACTAGACGGCTATTTCATCCTAGTTTGGAACTCTTCACCAGTACGCGACCGGATACGCGAGGCGAGTCCATCGACTACTGCTCAGTCACTAGGAGCCGTCTCGCATTATGCAAGAAGCTACCTGGGGTTTTAGTGACAAGTTGTAGTCTGCGAGGTCCATCGTGTCAAGTATCGGATAACGGCCATCCCCCGTCGCTCTCCTCGTCGGATAAAATCATCGCATGTTCTCAATGCATAAGACAGCAAACAAACATTGCTTTGCTATAAGAGTTAGCAATCGTCAGGAAGTCGTGCTTATCGACACTCCATAGCAAAGCGTACATGAAACTTAGAATGAATTGACACCTCCTCACACATGGAAACCCATATCATTATCAGTCATTGGTTCTTCGCATTCTAAGGACCCCAAACATTGAGGCAGTCTACATCTCCTTATGTGTCTAAAACCAAAAAATTGTCAAAAACTTCATGAACTGATTTCTAGTTTTAATTTGACCACTCTTAACTCTATTCCAATCTGAGCCTATATCGGTGCTAAAATTTTTTACATCAAGAAAGGTGGTGGTTAGGCATGCGCAACATGTGTCCTACCTATCTTAATCGATGTAGCTTCAAACCTTCGTCGAATTAACACTTTAACTACGGCCAAACCTTTTGAGATTTCTGTTCCTCAAAACTGTGTTTAAAAGACTTTGTATTTAATCAGTGCTTTTGACTGGCTGACTGACTGGTTTCAACGTGGAACTGAATTTGCACAGATGTGTGCAGCAGTACGAGTCGCCACACTTCTTACTTACTTACTTTACTTTACTTCGGCTATCTCCTACGGGAGGATGAGCCGGCTTCATGAACGTCTCGAATCATCGCTGCCCAGGCGCGGCAATTTGTAAGAGAGTTCATGAAGTTTCATGGGAATTGGGTACGAGTGATGTCCCCAGCATCGCTCGGCCTTTTGTTTGAGAGTGCAGCTCTAGCCTTTACACAGCCAAGTGTGACCTACAAGGCAGTAGGAGTGGAGTAAGGAGTCCACTATCCATTGGCAGCCGGTGACCGGAGTTCGGTTCATACGCCTTTTTGAATGGGGCCAGACATCCAGGACATCCAACAAGCCCTTTGTCCATACGTCTGCCGGTGAGCTCCAGTGAGCTTCATACGCCAGTCGTTGGAGGTTTGGAATCAGGGTTTAGCCATCTCCCCTAGACCGTCATCCAATGGACAGTCAACCCGGTGGAGAGCGCCGGGCATCCACTTTCGCCCTCTCACTTTGGTGAGAAACACCTCCGCCACGTGAAGGCAGTGAGTAGGACTTCCTCAGGAGAGGCTATGTAAGACGCCCGGTCATATGGGAGCATTCCAAGAGGTGTCCGGAGGGGTGGCCAACCCGCAGCGCAAGGCACCCACCCCCGACCATCCTGAGGCTTTGGAGGCCCACACTTCACTCAGCACGCAAACCAGAGAAGAAGGTAAAATGAAACGAAAAGTAGAGACAGTAAACAGAGATATATGAGGCAAAAAGAACAGCAATAGAAAATATATGGATGAACCATACAGTTTTATTGGATATTATAATTCACAAGGAGTTGATGCATCTGCGCGATTGAGCCATGTGATTAATTGTTTCGTGCCATTGGTGTTTACCGTCCCGAGGACCCAAACCAGCAAGCAGGTTTACACATTCCTACTTGGCTGGCTTAAACTAACTGTTGTGGATTTCATTGATTGATGAAGCAATGTTTTCGTTTGACCATCGCCACTAGCTCTCTCTGTTTTCCAACCTGTTCCACCCTGTGTCAGTCAGCTAACATTGCCCGTTGTCGAGGAAGGCGATGGCTAGGCACACATACATAACACATGTCCTAACCATCTCATTCCATTGATGTAACTTTACAACCTCGTCGATTGATTTCCTCTCCCACCTAACTAGCACTCGACCGAAGCCTAACCTCAATATTGCTCACCTTATAATGCCACTTCACACGGGAGATAGAACGCAGACACCTACGATCAAAGACAGCTAGCTAGCCAGCCAGTCTTTTGATATCTTCCATTTTCAATGGCCATGTCTCACAGCCAAAAAAGAGGACGGAGCAGGCTGCTGGGCGGCACACATACCCTTTGGTCGACAGCCAGCCAACCGGATATCATGTCTGCGCCAAAGACGGCGTAGACTGGAATATGTGAAACCAGCCTTCTGTATCCGTACCAGGATTTCATCGGCGATCAACCCGCTGGAGTTGGCTTATGCAACTACCCAAATAGGTGAAGTGGTCAACACGCTCCAACAATCATTCTACTCTCTATTTCTAAGCTAGGAGTAAGTCGATGTAGTCCAGTCGTGTAGCATCATCTTACATTTGACAGGAACAGGTGAATCGCATGCCAAACATTCGCAGATTACAACTCAAAGTGTTCAGAAGACTCTGCTGGATTTTGTCAGCATCTTCACCTAGAAGGACTATATCATCTATATGTTCTAAGTCAACGAGATTATCTCTTTTATTTAGGAGGACAATATAATCTGCATACTTTAAGTCAGCAGACTAGAAAACAATTTTTTGTTTGCATTACTTGCTTTCGGAGTGGAACGCGGGGCTCCAATCTTGAACTCTGAAGTCTCAGTTGCTGGCTTCACTCCCAGCTTCAGCATTCCTGCATACGCGAGCTCACTGCTAGCCAGATGATAAGATAAGGAAGGGCATGAGCGTCAGCTGGGAATCAAAGTCACTAGACCCAATCTCCTACAGTCAATAAGCTAATCGCACTTGTTTATTCGGATTATTCACAACAACACTTTGAAAATTTATTTCTGATTACAGCTTGATTTCACACCGTATTTTTGTTACAAGTATGGAATTTTCAGTATGTATGATATCGGTAGCCCAAATTTTGTAGGGCCAAGCGCATAGATATCAGGGTATGCGTCGGCAGAGGATCGAACTCCAGACTATGTGCATGATCGGCGAGAGTCCTTACCGCTGTGCCACCGACGCAACAACAAAAATGATAATCAAACGAAAAAAACAAAAACAAGCTGGTATCAGTTAGAGCACATGTTAGTGCACATACCATCATATACACAAACTCACTTGATCATTACATGAAACAGCAGACAAATGTAATGGTCTGCTTAACTGTAAACAACATCCAGGTGGAAATGCCGGCATAGGATGATTAATTTTACACGAAGTAGTAGTAGTAGTCGTAGTAGGATTATTATCTGTTGTAGAATTGTATTCTTGAATAAAGTCTACTGGTCCATCTTCTAGGATAAATTGATGTGGTAGGGTATAATTCATAAAATTATTATTGTCAACTGTTTGATGTGCACCACTGCTGTCTTCATGCTGGTCAAATGTTTTCGACACTAAAGTGTAGTCATTTGCAATAGATGTCATGCCGACAGTACTACTGGCAGGAATATCATTTTCATCATTATCATGTGCAGCAGGAGGAGGAGGAGGAGTAGTAGTAGTAATCACTATCGATGTAGACGATTTATGCGAGACAACAGATGGGGTATGCTTAGCTTTTGTATTATTAGTATAACGTTTATTCGATGAATAATGAATACGATATAATTTTGTGCTCAGTTTACAATCTTGTGGTAAACCCAATTTGCCTAATCTTAATCGTATCGGGATAGGTTGACATGTTCCGAAGACAACTGGATACGCACCACACATACCATTGGAAAAAAAAACAGAAAGAAACAACAACAACAACAAGAACAAGAAGAAAACATAAAAAAGTTTGTCAACTATGAGGTATTTTACAAAGAAAATAACAACTATTATTCAAAACTAAGTGTTGACAACAGGTATATGACTGACTGACTTGTTTCAACGTAGAGTTTTGCACAGATGTACAGCAGTTTCAGTTGTCAAACTCTCTCCATGTATCACACAAGGAGAGAAGAGAAGAGAGTAAAAAGGAGATTTAAAATATCGGTTCTCTTTAGCTTAATGATCTACGAGCTTGCCTTGTAACCAGAAGGTTCTAGGTTCGAACTCCCCTTTGGTGAAAGCGTACTGATGAAGAGTACCAAACTAGTGGGATGAAACAGCTTTCCAGTACTTACTACTACTTAGTGGTTTTTTACTGGTCCTCTTAACTTAGATATGACAGAGAAGATTTGTACCTCAGGTGGATGATCTTGATGTGGTTGTGTTCTCTGAGCTGGATAGTTAATTTGCGAAGCTTTCATTGCCTCCTACTAGGCGCAGTGATTTCTGAGATATCCCCTTCGTCTTCGTATCCACGAACATAAGCTAGCCGTCAAAAGACATGACATCCACTCCCTCACTCATATCACTACATACAGACAATCACGGACATCAATTCGACTGGGACAACCAACGTTCAAATATTAGACAGAAGAAACAACAAGAATGCCAGCCAGAGAATTTTTAGAAACCAGTCTGGTATTCCAATGAATCATCAATAATCAATAGACACATCGAGATAGACAAAATTTATCAACCAATAAGAAAGAGACCTCACACACACACACAAACAGTCAAAGTTCAAGTCAAAGAAACAATCAGTTCCAATACAAGTAGCTGCCTAGAAGGTGTGAAAACACACAAAAAAGTAACCAATCACGCCAAAGGTAACCAGGAGAGATGATTGATAAAATCGTGGAGAAATCGAAAAGTTCACTTGAATTCAAATTGAAGTGTATGCGCTGAAGATGTCACCTAAAAGGTAGGCGATGAAGTCATCGCAAATTAACTATCCATCTCAGGTCCTTTAAACCGATGTCAGCTGATGAGGGAATCCTGTAACAAATCAGATCCAAGCAAACTAGCACTTGAATAGCAAACAATCAAAAATGCTCGGTTATACATGCATTTAGTTGTCATTCCTTAACAAAATATGTGATTGGTAAATATTCAATGAAGATGCCTACAGATCCTGTTGTAAACAAGGAGAATATGATGACATCGCATGCACTTTAAAGGAAGGTAGGAAATCCCTTTTTAATGAATTGTCATGTCATGGTTCTTGTTTGTGTTTAGCCGGTGATGATGTTACGTCTAACAATAGAGTAGTCGTATATGAGCTTAATGCGTCGGTGGCACAACGGTTAGGACGCTCGCCGACCATACACGTGGTCCGGGGTTCGATCCTCAGCCACCGACGCATTACTTTACCTCGCTAAGCCAGAAATAATGCTGGTAAAGAGGAAAGGTCGGACATGAGACTAGCAACCCCATCTTGTAAAAATAAACACTGTAACAGAAACTTCAAGCCACTAGCTTGAAGCCCTATGTTCCACTGGGAACGTGAAGGAAAAGTTATTATTATTATAATATCAGCTTTACACAAAACACGAAGTTAAAGTGCAATTTTTACAACAAAGAGCACTGGGGCTGTTAAACCTACTCGATGATGATGATGATGGAGGATTGATTCTTTGACTCTGTAACTAAGACAGCATCAGCCTTCGATGTGTCTACTTTCAAACTACGAATAAAAGCCTATGAGGAAGTGAAGACCATTGCTGTTGTAACAACAGAAGACAAGGGCCAGGTAACAGATCGTTTGTAAGGGAAATCAACACATATTTATAGATTTTCATATACATTATCATAGATTATTGTAAGTAAAGAAATACAGTCTTCTGATTTGTGGTTTCTCACAGAAAGTTATTCTTTCATCTCTTTGTGGCTGTTTCTTGAATGTCAGATCATCTATATGTTGTTAACTGTATCCGCCTACGCAAACAAAGTCTGCTGTGTTTGGTTGTTGTGTCAGTCTTTGTTCTTATTCTCTCACGAACAATATTGGGGACATAAACATTGACGTAAATTGCTGTCTACAAATTTTGCCTAGCAGCCAGCTCTCACCACACTGTATCAAGTTCATGTTCAGTAAAAGAACTACGGGACGAAGCATCGAAAGCGGTTAAGATATCACTGGAAAGGGTAATTTTATTATTTGGAAGAAAAGTTTTTTAAGGATGAAGACATACATAGATTCAAACGACGAATAATCATCATCTTTTTGCTGTCTTTAGGGCATTTTATGATTGTGCATATCTCAAGGAAGTTTCGGACAGCTAATATACAGTAGGACACAAAGATCGGCTGTTTTGCGCATTCAGACCCCTATGAGTTGGTTTTGGTTGTAACAGATTTATCTGGACATCTACTGCATTCGGAAAGAAGGAAGAAGAGTCATATTTTTTTTTAAAACTAATTTCAAATCAGTTTCTCCTACATCTTTTACAGAGACTTACCATCTGAGTCATGTATAGGCATTGTCGACAAGCTACTGAACCCTTCTATCACCACCGAAACCCCCCAAATTGATATTGAAGTTCAGAGATGGCAAAAAATGATTTAGCAACAAAATAATCACGAGAGAAAAAATATGCTAAAAGGGAAACGAAGATGGATTGAACATACGTGGCTAAGGAGACCGATAAATAACACATCGAAAAGGTCTTCGATAGACAGGGCTGGCTGGGAAGTAAATTTGGAAACTACTTCAACACTATGGAATGCAGCAGCCAAAGTCTTAACCAACCTTATTCAACAGCTGGCTATATAACACTGTCACGTGTGTCAGGTGATCTCCAATGGTTTTTATGTGTTTGTGTTCTCTGAGCTGCATAGTTTAATTTGCGAAGCTTTCATCACCCACCTTCTAGGCGATATCTTCAACGCATACACTTAAATTTGAATTCAAGTGAACTTTTAGATTTCTCCATGAGTTTATTAGTCATCTCTCCTGGTCACCTTGAATGTAACTGGCTGTTTTTGTGTGTTTTCACACCCTCTAGGCGTCTTGTATTGATATTGGTGCTGATTGTTTCCTTGACCTGAAGTTCGACCCTTTTTGTGTGAGATTTCCTTCTTATCGATTGGTAAATGTTGTCTATCTTGATGTGTCTATTGATTATTGATGATTCATTGGAATACCAGACTGGTTTCTAAAAATTCTCTGGCTGGCATTCTTGTTGTTTCTTCTGTCTAATATTTGAACGTTGGTTGTCCCAGTCGAATTGATGTCCGTGATTGTCTGTATGTAGTGATATGAGTGAGGGAGTGGATGTCATGTCTTTTGACGGCTAACTTATGTTCGTGGATACGAAGACGAAGGGGACATCTACTTTGGTCAATGTAGTGTTTTTCACAGTTGTTACAATTCATTTTGTAGATGATCTTGGTTTTATCTTCTTCCGCTGTTGAGTCTTTTGGTTGACATAGAATTGAGTGAAGCGACTTTGTTGGTTTGTGTACGACGTCAATTCCTAAAAGTTTGAAGAGTCTTGTAGTGATTTCTGAGATATCCTTTATATATGGTGAGGTGATTTTCTTTGTGCTTTCCTTGGTGGCTTTTGCTTTGGTAGGTTGGCTTGGTTATATATGTCTCTTGATGAAATTCCAAAAGATTGGATATCCACGGAATTTCATCAAGAGACAAATACCCCCAAACCAGCCTACCAAAGCAGAAGCCACCAAAGAAAAGCATAAACAAATTCGCCTTACCATATATAAAGGGTATCTCAGAAATCACTACAAGACTCTTCAAACTTTTAGGAATTGACGTCGTACACAAACCAACAAAGTCGCTTCACTCAATTCTATGTCAACCAAAAGACTCAACAGCGAAAGAAGATAAAACCAAGATCATCATCTACAAAATAAACTGTAACAACTGCGAAAAACACTACATTGACCAAAGTAGATGTCCCCTTCGTCTTCGTATCCACGAACATAAGCTAGCCGTCAAAAGACATGACATCCACTCCCTCACTCATATCACTACATACAGACAATCACGGACATCAATTCGACTGGGACAACCAACGTTCAAATATTAGACAGAGGAAACAACAAGAATGCCAGCCAGAGAATTTTTAGAAACCAGTCTGGTATTCCAATGAATCATCAATAATCAATAGACACATCGAGATAGACAAAATTTATCAACCAATAAGAAAGAGACCTCACACACACACACAAACAGTCAAAGTTCAAGTCAAAGAAACAATCAGTTCCAATACAAGTAGCTGCCTAGAAGGTGTGAAAACACACAAAAAAGTAACCAATCACGCCAAAGGTAACCAGGAGAGATGATTGATAAAATCGTGGAGAAATCTAAAAGCTCACTTCAAGTTGAAGTATGCGCTGAAGATGTCACCCAGTAAGGTGATGAAAGCTTCGCAAATTAACTATCCAGCTCAGAGAACACAACCACATCAAAATCATCCACTTGAGCTACAAATCTTCTCTATCTCTCTCTCTCTAGATCCACAATGGAAAACTCAGTGAAGCCAAATGTTCGAAGTGCATACAGGAGTAAGATAAGGCTGCCTGACGACCATTATCAACGATGATATTAACTAACTGCGGTGGACTGGATTATGCGTCAGACTGTGTGTTGGGAGTGAGAAGATAGAAGTACACTACATTGACCGATAAGAACATCCTAGAAGATCCTGATTTCCCGCGTGGATGATTTATGTCTAATGTCACTCACTCACTCACGTCAGCTCGAAGACATGCAGGTGAAAACCAACAAACATGCAGAAGAGACTGGTTGACAGCGAAGGCACAACTCCAAGTGAACATAGACAAGACGGATGTGATGAAGGTAACTAACCAACCAACCAACAACAAGCACCAATCACAATCAACGAGGGAGATTTGTCAGAGGTTACTTCTATCACTTATCTAGGGAGCATCGTTTCAATTACAGGCCGGCGGAATGGATGAAAGGCAAGATACGCTTTCATCAACATGTAACCAGTTTGGAAATATTCTACAGTAACTCAGCTAGCCAGCATAAACAACAAGATTCGGATTCTGTTGAACACAAATGTGAAGTCAATCAGTCACTTTTTCTATATGGGTCAGGAACTTGCACTGCGCGCACGTCACGAAAAGCATTTCCAAAAGTCTACTACACAATTTTACTAACAACTGCCCTTTTTACTGTCATCATTACTGTGGATCAAATAGCCAGAAAATAATTATAATAATAATATGGCAATAAAAATAATAATAATAATAACAATACCTGGATACGGTTTATCCTCATTACTGGATGATAAAGCAATTTCCGGTTTTGGTAATAATGTTTGCATTAATTCAACATTACGCCAATTCGGTCCGTAGACATCCCCGTCAACATCTGAGGCCAAATTGACTTCAGTACTACGTGCATCATCACCATTATCATAACAGATAATCGATATTTGTTCAGGTATATAAAATCCTGGCACCTAAAAACACAAATATATATCAATAATATTGTGGCGAGTTCTACTGATAAGATTTATTATTATTATTATTAGTAGTATATATATATATATATATACAAAGCGTGTAGGTGTATAGATATTTCCCTACAGGTTTTTCAAGAATATCAGCCAACCATATAGTAACAGAATGATTCTCTGAGATCACCCTCTTTGTTTTTGATGTGGTTTTGTTCTCTGAGCTGGATGGTTAGTTTGCGAAGCTTTCATCACCTTACTGGGTGACATCCACCTGAGCTACAAATCTTCTCTATAATATCATCCTCTTTGTTGAACTATGTGTTTTATTTTCACTTAATATCTGAATGGGGATTATTCATGAATACACACACGCACACAAGATCTAGGTTGATATCACTTGGAAAACCATTGGAAACCAGTACAAAGTACTCGATAGCTGTTTCATTCTAGTTTGCGATTCATCTCAAGTATGCACCTATCGATTTTCTAACCCAGGACCTTCCGGTTACAAGCGAACAAGCTCGTATGGCATTCAGCCAGCGAGACCCTATTCAATGACCAGTTCATGAATTCTAACTTCTGCGAATTCGTGGTATTTAGAACGACACAACCAAACAATGTCATCAACAGGAAATCTATCCTCCCGACCCCAGTAGTGACGATTTCTCTCCAGAACTCCAGGCAACTTTTTTCCTGGGTTCGAAACCTCTCCGAGCTGAGGAAGTGCGGCGACTCTGCGTGTTCGATCATCGCTGTCTCCACAGGATTGCTTGCGTTCGATGACATCATCGCGTGAGTAATTCTGAGGTTCGGCGGCGTGTGTTTGAACACAGTGGAGATCAACATTCATTGAGTGTCGTCATCTGGAAACACCGACTTCAGCGGCTTAGACATGTGCTGAGAATGTCATCCCAGAGGCTACCGTACAGGTCTCTATTCGCTGGTCAGCCCTGGGACGGGATGGAAAAGGCGGAGAGGTGGTCAGTCCATGACGTGGCGTTGTGGGATGAAGGATATTTGTGCTAGATTAGCATCGGTTGGTGTGTCACGACTCCCTGGTTGGGGTCCGCGAGATAGCTCAAATCGATGGCTCGAAACGTTATCGGATATGGCCAAGAATCGTAATCAATGGCGAACGTGTTGCAATTTCTTTCTTTCTTCCCTTCCTGATGATAGTTAACGAATACTTTTTGAACTTGTTAAACATGACTGTTTTCCTTCCAGATGAAGTTCTTTATCTGTTCTCTACTTATATATATATATTTTACTTATGATCTATGTTGTTTTATTATTACTGTGTGGCGCATCTTTCATGGTGCCATATTGTACCAAGTTTGTTCTGCTTTTGAATAAAATAATAATAAATAACTCGACAACTGTTTTATTCTAGTTTGAGACTAATCTCAGGTATGCACCCACCAAATTTCGAACCCAGGACCTTCCGGTTACAAGGCAATCTCCTATACTATCCAGCCACTCGCACCCCGATTCAACAGCCAGTCTGGGAATTCTAACTTCTACCAAGTCGTGACTTTAGCGCGACACCACCAACCAATGTCCTCGACGGGAAATCTATCCTCACTCCCGATCGGATGGACTCCAGTAGTGACCATTTCTCACTAAAACTCCAGGCAACTTTGTCCTGGGTTCCAAAACCTAGTGGGTGCGTTCTGCCGATGAATCCCAGACTGGGACGAAACAGACAGCTGACTAGAAACTCGCTACTAGTTTCCAATGGTTCTCTAACTGATATCGATTTTTGGTCTCACCTGAAACAAATACAATGCCTACAAACTAATTCTTGAAGGTATTTATATATATATATATATATATAGATGCGAAACCATGAACTTACATTAGAGACGAACAGTAACTTGTTTAATCCAGGCTTGATAGTCACAACAGATTCCTGCCGTAGTACGAAAAGTGGTTTTGTATTAGAAATAATATTTGATCCAGTTATCTCATTACCAAAGGAATCCTGTTTTCCATTCACAGTGAAGGATATTTTTCTTGTTGGACGAAGTGAATATTGCCTGACAATTCGTGGAGTTCTATTCACATTTGGTTCTGTAGGAAGAAAGAAAGAGAGAAAGAAGGAAAGGGGTAAAAGAGGAAGATTTATTCAAAAAGTGAGATAAAGAGATGAATCTAATAAATAAAGAGATTGAGGAAACTGACTGGACTGCCTGGTTTCAACATAGAACTTTGTACCGATGTGCTGCAGTTCGAATTGTCACACTCCATTCCATGTAGTACACAAAGCAAGAGAAGAGAGTAAAGAGAGATTCGAAGCAGAGATATGAGGCAAAAAGAATAGTAATATCGAAGAACAATATAATTTTATTGGATATTATAAGTCCCAAGGAGTGGATGCATCTATGCCAGTCATTTACAACGATCACTTTGAGCCATATCATCAGCCATTGTCTCTAGCCTTCATTGGTTTTTACTGTCCCGACGAACGCAGCCAGACAGCAGTCTACACTTTCATACGTGGTTAGAGTAAACCAAACTGTTGTGGATTTCGTTGGCTCATGAAGCCATGTTTTGGTCTGACCCCCCCCCCACTGGCTCTTTCTCTTCCAACCTAACTCTATGTCAGTTAACACATGCCCTATCCATTTCGGTCGATGTAACTTCACAATCCCGTCTGTTGATTTCCCTTCCCTCCTTACCAAGCACCCGACCAATGCCTAACCTGAATATTGCTCACTCGGTTACACCACCTAACACGAGAGATAGAACGCAGGCACCTATGATCAAAGACAGCTATTCTCTTAACGTCTTCCACGTTAAAAAGGATAGTTGTGTTTGATCTCCCAATCGGCTTTCAAACAGATATAATAAATTTCTTAAAGGAGACAAAGCATAATGGAATGATTTGTGCTTCATCAGCTCAGAGAGAGAGTCCATTGTGTCACAGGAAGGGGGATTTACTGTCAATTAATTAATATTTTACTTGACAATATTGCACGAAGAGAGGCAAGTTATTATGCAATAAACTCCACCGAAAATTCTGTACATTTTTTTTAAATACTATCCGGAATAAAGACATTATCATTATGATTATTAAATAATGACTTTTTTGAACAATGATCACTTACCAATTATTCCATCAGAAGGAATTCGTGTAAATCTACCTCTGCTTGTTAAATGTACTGATTGTTTATGTAGATTGGGTGTGTTTGATGCATTAGCTTCATCATTTAATCCACCTGGAATATCTTGAGATCCCCATGCTGGTCTACTGGCTAATGATGCAGCTACATTTAATAGTGAACCTAGTCGTGAATCAACACGTGGTCGATTGTTTATCAACAAACCGACAGGATTCACTTGATTGCCATGACCACTACTACTAATCGCAGCACCACCGCCACCACCAGCCATTAACAAATTTGTATACTTGTAGTCTTTTGAACTATCTGGTATATTGGAATAACTTCGACAAGTGGAAACAGTGACTGGTGTCGGTAGTAAGTACTTATTCATGATTTGTTCTAAATCCAATTGACTACCATGACCACCACCAGTACTTGATGGAATAGATAGTTGACTGCGTACATGTCTTTGAGTAGGACTATTATTATTATTATTATTATTGACAGTATTTGTACTATCTATACTGTTTACAACAGAAAGTGATGGAAGATTAGCCAAGCTAACTAAATGCAATTGTGAATCAGATTGTGATAATAATGATGAATTACGTGTATTCATTACATGATATGGTAGAAAATCATTAGGATTTAATAATGTCTGCCAATCGACATACGTTGGTTCTGAGCCAACTATATGAACACTGTAAAGAGAGAGAGAGAGAGAGAGATATCATATTAGTTATTTTATTTGAACAATGGGCATGTTAATTTTACAACATGAACTAACATCAGTTAGAGAACCACTGGAAAACCAACTGGGAGTACTGGACAGGCGTTTCTTCCTCGTTTGGTGCATTTCAGCAGTACGCACCCACCGGGGTTCGAACTCAAAACCTTTTGGGTACAAGGCTAGCGACCTCATAGACCATTGAGCCACTGGAACTCGATCCAATTGTCCTTGAATTCTAACTTCCGCCAATTCACTCACTACATAGCACGAACATTTCACAATGTCTTCTTAGATGAGTTACTGCCCCATCTTCATCCTGCTGTACCCTACTGATCACGGCTTCCCACTAGAACCCCAGGTTAACTGCCTGAATAGGGCCAGTCGCTAGTGACCATCAGATTCATTTTCAAGTATTGGTTTTGGTCTACGAGCTCGCCATGTAACCAGAACTCCACTGTGGTGGGTGCGTACTGAAGAAAAGTCCCAAACTAGGACAACAGAAACAGCTGTCCTGGACTCCCTGCAGGTTTTCCAGCGGTTCTCTAACTGATGTCAGCTCATGATGAAATTCTCCATGCAATCAAACAAAATTCCAACAAAACCAATACTTGCAAATTTTACAACATAATATAAAAAGGTGAGGTGGTTAGACAACGGACAACTGCATACACTCACAAGTGATAATCTCATTGGACAATGTCTGATTGGTTTATTTATGGCTTAAATTTCTGAGGATTTTCCAAGTGATACAACCAATCGGATTTTTTTTTTTTAATTAACGACACACTTAAGTGAACGAAACTGTTTTCAATGAGGTGATGGCGAGCTACCTAGAATGATGGGCTACATTGCAAACTGGACTGATAGAATTCAGTTTGCACCAAAGGAAGAACTAGATATATCACACTAATCAAAATATCCACTTAACATTCTGACATAGTGAACGATGCCACTGCATACTACAACTTTTCTACACTTCGCATTGTGTTGATTTGTCTTCTTTTCGAGTCTCCTCTGCTTCGCCTTAATACACTAGTTCATTTCTTCTCTTCAACCTCAAATTTATGTCTCCTCTATTTGATATATTGTTGGGTCGATGAACGTCCCTTGCATACTACTGATAAATCTTATCAGTAGCACATGATACTGGTTATGACTTTTTCAGTTGAACATCAGAACACACCCACCTATCTATTAAATGCCAGTGAGCTGGGCATCCATTCAGATTATAGGTTTTGTAGGGGGATTCAGATTATTTTCAATGTAGACTTCGTCATGAACTATTATAAAAGTTAGGTAATCACTGAAAGACAGGACTGCCTGAACAGTTGTGTACGAGAGCAATCTGCTCGGATGAATGTATTGATGAAGAATTTAATAATATTAAACGGTTGCTAAGTGATAGTGGTTATCCAGAAAAGTTCATTGATAAGAATATATATAATCCAAAAATCAAGGTAACCCGAGGTACCAGCAATTCGTAAAAAGGCCTTATTCTTATAAATTCAGTTCCTCGGGGATAACATCAGCGAGATACTACGACAACGCCTTAGAAATGCGGTAAAAAGAGTATTCCCTGTTGCTGAATTATGCTGTATCATCAAACCCCCCCTCCTCCAATATTTTGCAGTCGGGAGTAAAAGATAAACTGCCTTATTTCGCCTCTTTTATGTGTATCTACTAATTTAACTGCTCCCGTGGAGCCAGTTAGTTGCATAGGCCATACAACTACGCATGTTTGTCGTCAGATTTCCGAACATCACCCTGCATAATGGTTGGTTAAGTTAAGGACAAACAAAATCTATTCGTAGTGCTATTCTATCTCACTCATCTTGTGGATATAGAACATAAGATTGATGTCAACAAGGCAGCATTCAAAGTCATTTACCGCATACCAACCAACTAATCTTAACTTCACCATAAGAGTTCATTTACTAAATATTGCTGAGGCTGGCTGTTGGGATCCACATTAAGAAGCATAATTTATATGTTCAAAAGAAGCCATCTAGGTTTGAATGATCCTCAATTGTTTGTAGAAATTTCTTTAATTTTAGTTGATTTTGTATTTGCGATTATATCTTTATTATAATTTAATCATCTTTAATGAACTGTAATTCCACTGTGATCTTACTTAACAAGTCGATATTATTTAAAAAAACACTAGTATTATTATTAACTACTATTCTAGAATATTCTCTGTATATAAACATATATACACAATTGTAGAGCCAGAAGAGGAAATTATCGAAAAGGATATTCTTTCCTCAATTATTTTGTGCTCATAGTTTGACATGAGATCAAATACTACTCTTCGATGGCATTGACTGATGATGTATCACTGCCCAAGGGGCGATTCGATAGAGGTTAGAATTCATGGACTAAATGGATTCCGTCAACCCAGTGGCGAAATGGTGAACAGCCTGGCCACTTATGCTGAAGGTCTTAGGTTTGATCCATAGGAGAGGGGGGAATCATAAATGTGGACTGCTGAAGCATCCGAAACATGGATAAAACAGCTTCCTGGTTTTCAGTGATTTTCGAATTGATGCTGGTTTCTGACACAAGATGTGTGCTGAAGTTACTCGAAATCAATACAAAACCTGATTATTATTATTACTATTTCAAATGTAATCGAGAGCTCACATCAGTTGGAGAACCATTGGAAAAAAAGCCTATCGACTTTCAGCTTGATTATAAAGATGAAAACATTGCTGCGATGATCAACAGAAGGCTGAGTATATCACTAGCCATAGCCTATCCTGCAGCTAAGCTTGTTCACGTCTATCGAACAACTTGCTCTACTTTGGAGCAATCAAAAATTGATAAATATCCTTCTCATGTTAACAACTCCAACTGTACATACAAACTGACATGTTTCTGCGAGAGCAGTTACATTGGAAGAACAGAAAGAAGGGCATATCTACGATTTTCTAAACATGTACCAAAAAGCTTATGTCTAAAGGGAACAAATGCTTTAAACAGTGCCATCGCCAGGCATCTCCTTGACACTACCGGTCATGAGGTGGACGTTGAAAAGTTGTTCAAAATTATCAATAGGCGAAAGAGCTCAATCCTCCTCAAGTTTGCTGAAGCCATTTCCATCAAGCGCCTGAAACTTGATTTATGCGTCCAGAAAGAAGCGGTTATCAGTCTTTCTTTGCCCTGACTGGTAACTGGATATTTTTCATCTCTATTTCATCTGAATGAGAAATGCTGAAATGTTTCCATTGTGTATGATCATTATTGTTGTTCGGAATAGTGTTTAGTATTACACATATATATGTATATATTATTACTGTATGCATATATTGATCGGTTGATTTTTGTTTAAAATGAACTCTGTGCAAGTACGTTAAAATTGTTTTTGTAGATATACTTAATAGTGACTTTGGCATGCAAGCAGCTGACGAGAAGGTAACGAAATAAAAGATGGTACCAATTTATTCTGCTAAAACTGTAGTTCTTGCTTTGTTCAAATTCATTAAGGGGAATAAATGTATGAAACCATGGATTACTGGGCAGTTGCTTCGTCCTAGCCTTGGATTTTTCAGTAGTATGCACCGATCGGGGTTCGAACCCAGCACCTTACGGTTACAAGACAGCTAACCCGTAGACCATTCAGACACTGGAACCCGGCCCAATGGTCAGATAATGAATTCCAATTTCTGACAACTAGTGATATATTTAGCGAAATTAGCCAGTCAGTGTCATAGGCCAGCGTGTTCTTCTAGTGAGAAGTCGTAACCAATGGTGTCCACCAAGTGGAATTGGCTGGAGGTTGCGCTATATATATATATATATATATATTGCGAGTTGGCAGATGTTGCAATTCATGGGCTGGACGCGCCTAATGTTCCACGCGTGTGCCTTCTAACGAGGAGGTCTCGGATTGGAACCCCAATCGGTGCATACTACCGAAGAGTCCCAGAGGCTATGACAAAACAGCTAGCTAGCTGTCCAGTACTCCATGCTAGTTTCCCAATGATTCTCTAACTGTTTTCAACTCAATATCGATCCTGTAACCATCATCAATCAAATCCCTGCCAACCAACACACCAAAAAACAAAACAACAACAAAGAAATAAACTTACGAGACTTGAAAACTTCGCTCAGAATTCGATTCAATCTCAGCAGAGATTAATTCATAACCACAATCACATACACCATCCAGTTCAACTTGCTTTAAACGAAATAATGCAGATATATCATATGGATTTGTAATAATCGATTGATTGAAGGATAATAATGAATTATGAAATTCTATAGCTTGTATCCACCAATAATGAGGATCAATTGCATCGCTATACGTGGGTATATGTAGAATATCCGTCAAGCTGGATGTTTGATACCAAAAGTAAAGTTTACGATAAACATGATCAACAGCATTGCGTAGTATTGGTTTACGTGTACCGGATAGGGTGAAACAGACTTGAATATATCTGCAAGATAAATAAATGGGTTAGAGGACAAAGGGGGGGATGGGATTAGATATGAATACAAGTTGGGGAAAAAAAGTGGTAAGCGACAGGAAATAATCGATCTGGTATTGTCCAGATGGACCGCCGAGACTGTCTGTCTGTCTGTCTGTTTTCGACATAGAACTTTGCACAAATGTGCGGAAGTTCAAGTCGTCACATTCCGTGTAGCACGCGAAGCAAGAGAAGAAAGTACAAGAAAAGCATAACAGAAACAGTGAGCAGAGGTGTGAGACAAAGGAGTAATAAAGAAAAACAAAACAGTTTCATTGAAGATCATAAGTCACAGGGAGTGGATGCATCTGCCCCAGCCACTGAGAACGATTTTGAGCCATGTCACCAATTGTTTCCAACCATAGATTTTTACCGCCCCGAGGACCCCAACCAGTCAGGAAGTCTACACCTTTCTACATGGCTTAGACCAACTGTTGTGGATTTCATTGACTGGTGAGGCCATGTTTTTGTTTGACCTCCGCTAGCTTTTTTCCAGCCTGACCCTATATCCGCTAACATTGCTCATTGTCGAGGGAGGCGATGGCTTGGGATACGTAACACATGTCCTAACCATCTCAGTCTTTGTAACTTCACGACTTCGTCGATTGATTTCCCCTGTTTACCTAGAACTCTACGCCTAACCTCAATGTCGCTCACCTTATTATGCAACTTTACACGGGAAATAGAACGCAGGCACCTATGATCAAACACAGCTAACCGGCCTCTTCATGTCTTCCACTCTGAGTGGCCAGGTCTCACAGCCAGCCATGAAGGAGGACGGAGCGGACTGATGAGCAGTACACCCGCCCTTTGGTCGATAGTCGAACATCTCGTCTACGCCAGAGGCGGCGTAAACTAACAAATGCGAAACGAGCCCCTTGTATTCGTGCTGAGATTTCGTCAGAGATCAACCCACTGGCATTGGCTGATGGTACTTCCCAAATAAGTGAAGCGGTCAACGTGCTCTACCACTTCACTTCCTATTTTTAAACTAGGCGTCGATGTAGTCCAGTCCTGTAACATCATCTTGCATTTGGCGGGAGCGAATCGCATGCCAAACATTCGTAGATTGCGGCTCAAGGTGTTTAGAAGACTCAGCTTTATTTTGTCAGCGTCTTCGCCTAGAAGGACTATATCGTCTGCATATTCCAAGTCAACGAGATTAGTCCCCGGTAGCAAGTCAATCCCTGAGTCGCTGAAGTCACTTAGGGTTAAGTCCATTAACACATCTATGATGAAGTTGAATAGAAAAGGAGATAATGGGCATCCTTGACAGACACCACTGGTCGTCATCAGTTCAGATGACAGCTCGCCGTAAGCCCTCACCTGGCTGTATGAGTACGAGTAGAGTGCCTTAATCAGTGCAATATATTTTCTCGTCATTCCCTTTACAGCCAAGCATCTCCAGAGAACTTCCCGATCGACAGAGTCGAATTCTGCCTTTAGGTCAAGAAATGTAATGACTGTTGGACGCCGGTAGGAATTCCTATGTTCTAGAGTCTGTCGGAGGGTGAAGATATGATCAATACACCCTCTTCCTGGTCTAAAGCCTACCTGGCTCTCTCGTGTTTGTGCTTCCCGAGCACCACTCAGTCTACGCATGATTATTGAGCCTAAGACTTTAGATACTATATTAGTCAAGCTAATCCCTCTGTGATTATCACTACTACCACGCGGTACTGTGTATACCGACTAATAAGCATAAACTGTGAATATTTTTTATATCAAGTTTTTGCAACAATTTTTATTATTATCTTTAAACATTTTGTTTTATTTTTAGATATACAGAGGATTCAGAGGCTGAACGTTTTCGTACCCTGTTTTCTCATGGTCGTATTCGTATAATGTTAATCACTGAACGTTATTTCTTCTTTCGAAGGTTTGTCAATCATTTATATATATATATATATATATATATATATATATATATATATATATCAGTTCTGATCAGCAATTGATATCAGTTAGCGAGTACTGGACTGTTAGCTGTTTCTTCCTAGTTCGGGACTCATCGGCAGTATGCACCAACCACGAAGGTTCGAACGAAGCACCTTCTTTTTTCTGATTATAGCTTGATTCCATACCGTGTTTTTTTAGTACAGGTATGGAATTTTCAGCATGTGTGATATCGGTAGACCAAATAGCTAGCCAGCCTTTTCATGTCTTCCACTCTCAATGACCAGGTCTTACTGACAGCCAACCTGTCGGTCGACAGAATCGAATTCCGCCTTAAGGTCAAGAAATATAACGATTGTTGGACGCCACCGAAAGTATGCCTATGTTCCAGAATTTGTCAGAAGGTGAAGTTATGATCAAACCACCTTCTTCCTGGTCTAAAGCCTGCCTGGTCATCTCGTGTTTGTTTGTCCTAAGTACCTCTTAATCTATGCATTATTGTGCTTAGAACTTTAGATACCATATTAGTCAGTCTAATCCCTCTGTGATTATCACAGGAAGACTTGTCTCCCTTCTTGTATATGGGGATAATCAGTGACTTACACCAACCCGATGGGACTTCTTCTGATTCCCAGACGCTGCCTAGTACCTCAGTTAATGCAGACAGTAAGCTGTCTCCACCGTACTTAAATACCTCTGGAGTCATTCCATCAGGTCCCGCTGCTTTGCCTAGTTTCAGATTGGTGACAGCTTTAGTAACCTCAGTTAGTGACGGAGGACCTGTATCTATATCCCATTCAGGGAGGTGTTGGATGCTCGGAAGGTTGAGCGTGGCTGTGGGCAAATTAAACTGCTCCTCATAATGCTCTTTCCAACGATCCAGTCGTCTATCCTGGAGCTAATTATAGTGCCATTTTTTTCCGAGATTGTCTCACTAATGATTTGTCTTCTCCCACCCGTTTCCCTGATGAGTCTAAAGAGTTGCCTGGTGTTGCCTATCCTCGAAGCTTTCTCCATCTCTTTGGCTTTTGTCGCCCACCACTGTTCACGGTCCTTGCGGAGACTTTTCGTAAGTTTCCTCTTGTGCAGCTTTCGCTCCTCATTGAATTCGGAGCTCGCCGGAATAAGTCTTCTAGCATCTATCAGTTCGGATGAGGCGGTGGAGATCCAGTGGTTTTTACTCACCTTTGGGTTTACCTTATTCACAGCTTTTACAGCTGTATCTATGGCTGCCTGGATATTTTTCCAAGCTTCTTCAGGGTGAGCACAGCTGTCGAACACAGATATGTGTTTAGCTAGTTCTTCCTGAAATACGGATTTAGTTTCCTGATCGAGCTGGGGACGTGATGGTTTTACCGCCAGCTGTTTCCTACGTCCGTTCAGTCGTAAGCACACCCGAGCGCGGACCAGTGCATGGTCGGTATCTACGCACGTGTTCCAGAAGGAGCGACAATCTCCTACCGACCCACGCCAACGATAGCTTATTGCTATGTGGTCTATTTGTGTCCAGCGTTGGTTTGATGAAGGGGGTCTCCAAGTCAAACAGTGTCTCTCCTTGTGTTTGAAGTTAGTGCTTACAAGAAACAAATGATTATCAGAGCAGAACTGTAGGAGACGGTCACCGTTGTCGGTTCGCTGGCACGGAACTCCATAGGTGCCACCGACATCCTTCTCAGATTGACACAATTTCCCTACTTGAGCGTTAAAGTCACCAGCTAGAACGACTATGTCTGAGCGTTTAGCCTTTCTCACCAAACTAGACAGCTTTTGGTAGAACTCATCCTTCGTTTCATCTGAACTGCAGTCAGTGGGGGCGTAGGCGGAGATTACGAAAAGGCATCGGCGAGTAGTGCAGTCCTTCCTCCTTCTTACTGATCCGTTCAGGCGGACAGCACACATTCGGCTATCTACCGGGATCCAGTCAAGCAATGTCTTTTCTGCCCTAGTACTCAAAGCTATCCCTACGCCAGCTAATCCTCGTGAACTAGCTGTGGCATCTCCTGACACCCTCAAGGTGAATTTTGCAGATTCAACCTGTTGGCCAGGTGGGGTTAGGTGAATAACCACACTTGGGTCTTGTATGCGTGTTTCTGAAACACAGCATACATCAATGGCTCGTGATGCCAGGGTCTTGGCTAGTGATGCTTGTTGTCCTATTTGGCAAAGTGTCCTAACATTAAGAGCTCCTATATGAAATTGGTGGCGCGGCTTTAAGAGGCTGTCGGTGGTGGTTTTTTGGCTTCCATCGTTTTTAGTGGACGCAGAGTGGAGAGGAAGTGGAGAGCTATCAAGTCGAGGAGTTGCATCAGTGGAAGGAAGGCAAGATGATAGAGATGAAGATGAAGACAAAGATGAGTGAGTAATAGAGAGGTTTCGTGTGCATTTCGGATTGTGAGGGCGATTGTTACTTCCCGGCTGCCCACACCGTGGAAGTTGGTTGCGTGACCGCAGAGCCCAGGGGACAACTGCTTGAGGCCGGTCACACGCGGCCTGTTTTTGTTCGTTCTTTTTGTTTGGTGTGTCTCAGTAGCATATTTATCACTCCTGCCCTGTGACACGGCAGCAGGAAGCGCGGTCGTTGTTAATCCGGGCCACGGCCGATCCGGCATGAAATTTTTTGATTTTGTATTGGACATGATGTTGGATTGGGTAGCTGCTTTTTGTTTAACCGCTATCCAAACAACCTGCCTGGCATGGTAGACCTCAAGAGACATAAGTCTCAGCCAGTATAGCTTGAATAGATCATTGCGGTGTTCAAGCCCGACCACCACGTCAAGGTAGCAGCTTTCGGTCGGGCGTTGGTGGCACAGTGGTTAGGACTCTCACTGACCATGCACATGGTCCGGGGTTCGAGCCCTCGCCGACGCACACCTGATATCTATGGTCGGCCTGCAAAATTTGAGCTACCGATATCCACGCTGAAAATTCCATATATGTACCAAAAATACAGTGTGGAATCAAGCTGTAATCAAAATTTAAATTTAATTTAAATGTTTTCAAATTTTCAAAAGAAAGTAGCCAGAAAGACCAAACGGGAAAAATTGAAGGAAAGCTAACACAAATGCTGAAGAAGA